TCGCGCGCTAAACCGTTAGATCTCATTTTGCCAACAACACAACTCAACGGTTATGATTTGTCTTATAAATTATATATTTACACTTTGTTGTTACTTTTGGATGAGATATTGTTGATATAGTTTAATGGGAAATTGTTAAAAATGCTCCTTTTGGTGTGCCCCTTTTCAAAAATACCCCTTTTAGATGTCCATTTTCAAAAAAGCCCCTTTTTAAATATAAAAAATTTATAAAATTTTATTAGGTTTATAAGGTACTTATGGATGGTAACTATTACTTGAAGACTCGATCTAAGTATTTATAAGATTTTATAAGGTGTTTCTAAAGGTTTTACAAGATATTTTAAAGGTTTTTCAAAGGTTTTACAAGATATTTTAAAAGTTTTTAAAGGTTTTTCAAAGGTTTTAGATACTTATTTGTGTATGTTTTAATAATGTTACATACACAAATAAGATTTTAGATACTTATTTGTGTATGTTTTAATAATGTTACATACATATTTGGGTAAATCTTATATTTTAGGAGCATTTTTTATAAGGTTTTAATGAATGGGCATTTTTGAAAAGTGGCAATGAAAAAGGGGCATTTTTGCAAAAGCCCCTAGTTTAATAGATAATTAACATTAACAAATGAAAGAAAACTACACTTCTTATTACAAGCGAAAGTTTAAATATACATAAAAACGTTACGATCATGGACTGTATTTAACAAAGATATTATACTTAAATGTCCAACACACTTACTGTTAGTAAATAAAATATATAGTGCAAGCCTGCAACCGTGCAACATACAGATTATATCATTTCTTTTTTCTTATAAAATAATCATCAAGTATCATATATTAAAACTTGATGTCGTATGCTGTGATCGAATATATATTTAACTGCCCCGTGACTTACGTATTTAGATATGCCCTGCAAGTAAAAGTAAACGTTGTTTTTAACAGTACTCTCAGTTGGAATTAATTCCATAACAAAACTATAACGTTAAATCTATAAAAAAGGACATTTCTTACAAAGATATACGAATATAGATATATAATTTACCAGTTAAGTCAGCTAACTAAGATTACAATTTACAAGTTCAATGAATTCACAAGAGTGGGTCTATCAAGTTTCATCAGTTTTATTTAACGGCCACGAGAAGTTAAGTTAATTGCTATATGCATTACTGCCATTGCATTTAAAACCTCTTGATATTACGTTCTTAACTTTGTAACTGATTTTGTCAATAATTTTTCGAAATAAAAATTCAATTGACATTCAAATCCATCTCATGGTAGGAAAAAACAATCCCGGAGCTTACGTTTTGTTTTTTTTTAAAAGATACTATGTTTTATAAGTGGTCTGAAATCTTAATCACTTTTAATTTTTGCACTTTTATATTTGATGTGTATTTGTCTAATAGATTGGTGAATAAAGAGCCTATTAATTCATTGCATTTAATCAACTTTTTTTCTTGTGGCTGCAAGGTCTTGCTTTTTTAAAAAATATCCTGAAATAAATCTGGTTTATGTTTAATCAAGTAAAATAATTATTAGTACCCACATAATAATACAATAGTTTCGGTAAACTTCAAATAAATGAAGGTTTTGGATACGTTATCCTCAATATATTGTATATATGTTTTTCTTTTTCTTTTATTTTAGATTTATGTAGCTAATATGAAAAATTTCAAATGGAAAATTTTTTTTTTTTTTTTGGTCATGGGAAATGGAAAAATTACAAGTTCAAATTTTATGTTTTATATATTTTCAAGTAAGCAAGCAAACGCAAACTTGCCCAAAGATATCAAGTAAAAAGTACAATATTAAAGGGTAAAAAGAATGAAGTACACACAAGAGGGGCTTCTATTATTTAACATAAAAGACATCATTCCCTTTCAAATATAAGAAAAATTTATTAAATGAAATAAACTATAGTTTTTGAATTAATTAAAAAAAAAACTAACAAGAGGGGCTTCTAATGTTTTTTCTATATAAATACCTGAAGGCAGCCTTTCGTCTTAAACCCCACAGCAAAAAGCCACTCTCCTTTCTCTCTCTCTCTTTTGTTCCTCTGCTTCCATGGCCACCAAGCTCGACACCAGTAGCTTACTTTTGGCCATCTTCTCCAAATGTAGCCTCCTTACTCAAACCAATCTTGCACTCTCTCTCCTCGTAGCCTCCCTTGCTTCTCTCGCTCTTTCTCTCTTCTTCTGGTCTCATCCCGGAGGACCCGCATGGGGAAAGTACTTCCTCCATCGCCGCCGTCAAACCACCGTGATACCTGGACCAAGAGGCTTACCTTTTGTCGGAAGCATGTCTCTCATGTCAAGTGCTCTGGCTCACCGTTGCATAGCCGCAACCGCAGAGAAATTTGGAGCCAAACGTTTAATGGCGTTTAGCTTAGGAGAAACTCGCGTGATCGTCACGTGCAATCCTGATGTAGCTAAAGAGATTCTAAACAGTCCGGTTTTTGCTGACCGGCCGGTTAAGGAATCAGCTTATTCTCTTATGTTTAACCGAGCTATCGGTTTCGCACCTTACGGCGTTTACTGGCGAACCTTGAGAAGAATCGCGTCTAATCATCTTTTTAGCCCGAAACAGATTAAACGTTCCGAAACGCAGAGACGTGTGATCGCCAATCAGATCGTCAAGTGTCTTGCAAAACAGAGTAACACCAAAGGTCTCTGTTTTGCACGTGACTTGATCAAAACGGCATCGCTTAATAACATGATGTGCTCTGTTTTTGGAAAAGAATATGAGCTTGAGAACGAGCATGAAGAAGTGAATGAGCTACGTGGATTGGTGGAAGAAGGTTATGATTTACTCGGAACACTTAATTGGACCGATCATCTCCCATGGCTCTCGGAGTTTGATCCTCAGAGAATCCGGTCTAGATGCTCTAATCTCGTACCGAAAGTAAACCGGTTTGTGAACCGAATTATCTCTGACCACCGCCGTGATCAAACTCGTGACTCGCCGAGTGACTTCGTTGACGTATTGCTCTCTCTTGATGGTCCTGATCAATTATCCGACCCTGATATCGTCGCTGTTCTCTGGGTATGTACACGTGTCTTTTATTTTTATCTTTTTACTAGAAAAAATCATATTTATTATATACTCTATGCGTTTAATTTAATTTTGGATAATCAAATATGCCATTTTAAGTAACTAAAGTATTCGCAATTTTTGGTTTTAATAACAGGAAATGATATTCAGAGGAAGTGACACGGTGGCTGTTTTGATCGAGTGGATTCTTGCTAGGATGGTCCTACATCCAGATATTCAATCGACGGTTCACAATGAGCTTGATCAAATCGTGGGAAGATCAAGAGCCGTCGAAGAATCTGACGTGGCGTCTCTAGTATATCTAACGGCTGTGGTGAAAGAAGTCTTGAGGCTTCATCCGCCAGGCCCACTACTCTCATGGGCCCGTTTAGCAATCACAGATACGACCATCGACGGTCGTCGTGTTCCGGCGGGGACCACCGCAATGGTGAACATGTGGGCTATAGCACACGATCCACACGTGTGGGAAAATCCGTTGGAGTTTAAACCCGAACGTTTTGTAGCTAAGGAAGGTGAGGTTGAGTTCTCGGTTCTTGGGTCGGATTTGAGGCTTGCACCGTTCGGGTCCGGTCGTCGGGTTTGCCCCGGGAAGAATCTTGGTTTGACCACCGTGACGTTTTGGACTGCGACGCTTTTGCATGAGTTTGAATGGCTAACACCGTCCGATGAGAAGACCGTTGACTTGTCCGAGAAATTGAGGCTCTCGTGTGAGATGGCTATTCCTCTTGCTGCTAAATTACGCCCCAGGCGTAGTTTCAGCGTATGATAAAGATTATACACAGATACAGTGGTAAACTAAAGGGAAGGAAAATTAGTGTGAATTGAAGCAAAAGATAAAAATAAAGAACAAACAAAGTAAAGGAAACAAAAAAATAAGAATCATACAAAAAAAAAAAAAGAAAAAAAAAATGGTTATGAAGCTTTTATATTAAACTAACATCTTGATACGTTTGGTGGTGTGTTGTATATATGATGAAAACATTAATGTCACAAAGAAAAGTTTATAGTACTATGTGGTTTTTGTATATATTTTTTTCTCGCTTTCTTTTTGCATTCTGATTTTTTATCTAAATTTCAAAACTTGATTTCCTCGTTTCAAGTTTAGTATGTTTTGAAAACTTAATTAATATCGTGGACTATCAACTCTGAAATTATGGGAAAACGATCTTTGCTTGAACACGAACAAAGTCCCGATTACAAGCAAATATAATATATCATTTTTCATCCACTGATCAGCAAATATAATAATCAAGGAAAAATGTAATTATTTCAATTCATTTTTACTTCGACAAGAAAAACTACAAGTATAAGTGGTGGATACATTAATGAAGCTAGTTCTTAGTTCTTGCATATAGAAAATATTTTCAAACTTCAAATTGTGTGGTCGAACATAAAAAAATCATTATAATAAGAGTTCTTGAATTTATATTTATGTAAACGTAAGATTGTGACACATGAATTATTAAAGGATGGTGGTATTTTTGTTCCAGTGAGGAGCAGGCACATAAGCATTAGGAAAGAACAAAATATGACAAGATTTGAATTAATTGTGGTCTAATCATATATACAATTGAGAGATCTTAAAAGTGGATAAGTATCTTATAAAGAATTTTTTTTTTATGGTGGAAGCATCTTCACTGGTTGCTGAGAGGTTTTCATAATGACATCATGTATGTTTCTCAATAAAAGTGGTTGTAAAAAAATATATAATGCCCATATAAAGTACTCCATAGCATAACCTTACCAAAAAAAAGTACACCATAGCATAAACTAATCTTGCATGACAATTTTGTTTCCGAATGGTTTAGCCTTGTACAAAATAAATGATTTTATTTATATTTCGTATAAACTGAAAGTGGGCTTAATCAAGAGTTGATAAATAGCTTAGGCCCATCAACGTAAAAACGATAACATTTATTATACATGGGCCAGAGTTGACATAGTTTAGATCAATGTAGATCTATTTTATACGAAATGAATTTTTCAACATGCTTAATCAAATTACCAGACTTCTTGTACATGAAAATCATTACAAAACTCTGAAACACAGTGTGAAAGAGTATTATTGATCATTTTCCACCATTATTCCAATATTAACTCGAATTGCATGATTTCTTACAATTTCATCATTTACAAACCTCAAAAAAAGTTGCAGAATATTTGCATATATAGAGTCAAACTCATAATAAGACATCCCAATAGTAATATTATCTATGGCCATTTAGTGAACTCAAAGACCTTAAGGACGATATCAAGACCTGTTGGGATTTGCCAAATGAAAAGAAGAACATTTACTGCATTCAACGCTATGTGTAGACTCCTCGCCGTCTCGTTCCCTTTCTGCATTGCCGGCACTAATGCTGCCGCCGCCGCCCACAACACCGTTATTCCTGCCACCACCACCACCATGAACACAAAATGTGACCAATTTTGTACATCCCAAACAAATATAAACAACAGTTTTTTTTGTTTTAATGAAATGTTCAGACTTTTCTCATAGTTATGATGAATGGTAACTTTTGAAATATAACTAAAATCCAAAGTTCTGATCAAAACTTAAACCACATCAAACCAAGCCAAAACCGGACTGAGCAACCCAAGATTACACAATTTTGTCCAGTGCTATCAATGAGAACCTAAAATCAAGAAAATGAAAAAATAAGACGAGAGATTGGTTTATGGTACCTGCACCGGCGTAAAGATGAGGACCGGGGAAGAGTTTACCGGTACGAAGATAAGTGTTAACACCACCAAAGACAGCTTCCAAAACACCAAAACCTAACAAAACAGAGCCAGCGTCAAAGTGTTTGTCTCTGTAAGACCCTTTGACCAACTCTTTCCTCTCTTCTGTCAGCCGTTGGATCTGAAGCTCAGTGGTAGAAGGAGGCGACGAAGAATCAACCTCAGTGGATCCATCAGGAGAAACAGGAGTTGGTTTAAGCTGTTTCTTGAGCTCACTGATCTCACTCTGTATCGTACGGACACGTCTCCATTGCCAACCTAAGTAACCAGTCCAAAGAGTGTATGCGAATAAACCTCCCATCACAATTGGGTGTATTAACGCAAATGATCTTCCTTCCAATATCCCAAATTCTCCTCCAACTGCTGCTGCATCCTTTTAAAATTGCAAAAAACAAGAATCTTGATTGATGAAACTTTTCACCATTCTCGATCATCTGGTTATATTTGTAGAATGTGAAAAGATTGAAACTTTTTGATTACCTGTGGGTCGAGGAAGAAAGGCAATGCGATGACTGCGAGAGGGAGAGAGGATGATTTAAGGAGTTGAAGAGCGTTGGGAGTGGAGGGTATTTCTGGGATTTTGCATGGTTGTGATTTGGTGATTGGTTTCAGAGAGTTTAGGGTTTTAGGGTGATGGGTGCGAGGAAGAAGATGGAGTGTGGAGAGACAATGAAGTGTGGTCGCCATACTCTCTCTCTCGCGATTTTTGGAACAGAGATTTTGGCAAAAGAGTGAAGAAACAAGAGAGACATTCTTAACCGCAAAACGATCGAACCAAAACAGATAAGAGAACTCCGTTGGAGCTCCACGTGTCAGAAAACTGGACACTTACATAAAATTTAATTCTTTTCTTCTTCACCGACAGAACACGAGTCGGTAAATAAACATGTACAGTATAATGTCAGTTGATTAATAAATAATCCAAATTGTTTACTTTTATTTAGTTTTTACAAAAAAAATACTTATGTTGATACTCCCTCCGTATTTTAATAATTGTCGTTTTAGGATTTTTATTTTTTTGAATTGGATGTCGTTTTCAAATTTCTATGCAAAATTTATTACTCCCTCCGTATTTTAATAATTGTCGTTTTAGGATTTTTATTTTTTTGAATTGGATGTCGTTTTCAAATTTCTATGCAAAATTTATTACTTTTTAATGTTTTATGACATCATAAAACATTAAAAAGTAAGAAATTTTGCATTGAAATTTGAAAACGACATCTAATTTTTTAAAAAAGAAAATCCTAAAACGACACTTATTAAAATACGGAGAGAGTACTTTTTAATGTTTTATGACATCATAAAACATTAAAAAGTAAGAAATTTTGCATTGAAATTTGAAAACGACATCTAATTTTTTAAAAAAGAAAATCCTAAAACGACACTTATTAAAATACGGAGAGAGTACTTTTTAATGTTTTATGACATCATAAAACATTAAAAAGTAAGAAATTTTGCATTGAAATTTGAAAACGACATCTAATTTTTTAAAAAAGAAAATCCTAAAACGACACTTATTAAAATACGGAGGGAGTACAAAAGAAGGCTTATGTTGTTTACTTTTATAATGGACTCATGGGGTAACTTTTAGTGTGGGCCTATTTGTGAAGAAAGCCCATTATAAGTCTTGAATTTCCGAATTTACCCCTATTGGCATGACGGTGTTTTTAAGTCAACCAGGCTCTTCTTTTCGTTCTTCGCCGAGCGTCGTCGTCGTCTAGGGTTTGCTTATCGTTACTTCTCCGATCGTTTGAAGGTAAATTTTCTCCGATACTTGTACTTGCTCATGTAGATATACCTTCTCTTATCCCCTACATGATTCTAATTTCGTGTTATTGGATCGTTAGGACTTGCAAATTAGGATAAAGATGAGGCCAGTGTTCGTCGGCAATTTCGAGTATGAAACTCGCCAGTCGGATTTAGAACGATTGTTCGACAAGTATGGGAGAGTCGAACGAGTGGACATGAAATCTGGTAAAGTGTCTTCTAATTTCTACACCAGTGACCGATATTTGGAATAAAATTTTGTTGTTTGATCATCTCGAATTCGTCTTCTGGTTGGTTAATCATCTTTGCTTAGGTTTAGTTTCCGTTTGAACTAGGATTCTGGATATTTAGAACTAGTTCCAGTTTCATACATGATTTGAAGGTTTATAGTATTTTGCATATCAAAGATTGGTTTATTAAGTGTGGTAGGGGTTTATGCAGTAGAGGATGGTTGTATTGAGTGTTTATTTGGTCGCAGGAAATTTTCTTCAAAGGAACAAGAATTGCCATCTTCTTCTTCTTCCTGCAAAAACATTTCTACATTTTCATGCCTGCCTTTATCATCTTGTGCCTACCAATCTTCGCTGATTCTAGAGAAACTTTGGAATTTGTCTATCTATACCAATCAGTCGATGGTTTCAGATGGAAGTCTATTGAATCCATCATTGCCATGCCTTGCCTTCCATTTCTGAACTCCTCCACTCAGAATGTTCAAGCATTCCTTGCAAATCACTCAGAATTGTTTTTATAAAAATTGGTGTTTTAAAAAAAAAATCCTGAATTCCTGTGTTATGCTACAAATCTTGATTTTCTACTACATCATGGAATGCCTCTACATCTCATGTTCACCAGCCTTCACATATATGCAGGTGTATATCTATTTAGTTATTTTCTAGGGTAAACGAGATATGCTCTATTTGCTGATCTACAGCAATGCAGGGTTAATGGACTGGAGGGTTGTCACTCTTTATGTTGCGTTTTGTAATCCTTGTGCTTTTGTTGTTGTTGCAGGATATGCTTTTGTGTACTTTGAGGATGAACGTGATGCTGAAGATGCGATTCGCAAGCTTGACAATTTCCCTTTTGGATATGAGAAACGCAGATTATCAGTTGAATGGGCAAAGGTATTCTTTTTTTTTCTGGTTTTTCTTGAAGCTGCCTTATATTTAAGAAAATTTCTAAAGTTTCTTCTGGTTTTCAGGGTGAACGTGGCAGGCCTCGTGGGGATGCGAAAGCCACTTCAAATCTGAAGCCTACAAAGACCCTGTTTGTCATTAACTTTGACCCCATTAGAACAAAAGAGCACGACATTGAAAAGCACTTTGAGCCCTATGGTAAGGTCATCAACGTGCGAATCAGACGCAACTTCTCATTTGTTCAATTTGAAACACAAGAAGATGCCACAAAAGCCCTTGAAGCTACTCAAAGAAGGTAAAAAAGAACACTTCTTCTAGTTACTTTTTCCGCTAAACATTTTATATATTTGCCTAACTAAACTCCCCTCTTTGTTTTCTCAGCAAAATATTGGATAGGGTTGTTTCTGTGGAGTATGCCTTGAAGGATGACGATGAAAGAGATGATCGATATGGTGGTCGTAGCCCGAGAAGATCTCTTAGTCCTGTGTACCGTAGGCGTCCAAGTCCAGATTATGGTAGGCGTCCAAGCCCTGATTATGGTAGACGTCCAAGTCCAGATAATGGTCGTGCACGAAGCCCAGAATACGACAGATACAAAGGTCCAGCAGCTTATGAAAGACGCAGGAGTCCAGATTATGGACGAAGGAGTTCTGATTATGGTAGACAAAGGAGTCCTGGTTATGACCGATACAGAAGGTAAAAGAACAATTGCTTTGGCTTCTTAGTTCTTACTGTTCTCACTCAACTCTAATTGATGTCTATGTAATGTTTTTGATTGAACAGTCGTTCTCCAGTCCCAAGAGGAAGACCTTGAAGAAACTATGCAGAAAACAGGAGCTTCGCAAGAATGGTTTTTCGGAAGGGTATATTTTCTATGTTGTGTTTTGAGTTAGAAGAAGATGCTTTTTGATGTTTTGAAAGCCTTAAGTTAAGTTTGGGATCTTATGCTGTGTGACTTTATAGTTTTTAGAATTGGAAGACTTTTATCTAAAAGTCAGTAGAAACTTCATAATGGCGCTTTGTTACAATCTGTTATTAGTACTTGGTTCACTTGGTTCATGTACCCTTTTGATTCGTCATAATTATTCTATATCCCATCTAATTAACAGTGACACAAGTTTGCCAGAGAAGAAATCATTTTGATGCAACTTTTTTCCAATAAGGCAACGATAACTTCTTGTTTTACATGTTTTTTTCGCCACTTGTTTTACATATATCTCTAAGCGAATGGTCGCTTTGTTTGAAGTTTGTTTGAACAAATTACTTTGAAGGCAACGAAGCCCATCAGGTGGGATAATTGGGCCGATATGCCCAAAAAGTCTCGGAAATCCTTCCGTCACAAAAATCAAAAAGTTTATGAGAAGGTAAAAAAAACAATTGAGAATGGTGGAATTCCTTTTTATAACTTTTCTGTTAGTATACTGAAATTAACTAATTAAAATTTTAATGAGACATGTTGTTTTATTCCTTCGATTTCTTTGGCCTGAAGATAACAGCTTTCTATAATATATTTATAAAAATATAGTTGACTCCATTGATCCGTTGCATTATGTTTTCTTAATTATTTTGAATAAAGCGACCATGCGCGTAGATAAATCTAGATTTCTTATAGACTAGGAGAATATCGCGTTTGATTTTATCTTGGATTTTTAAATGTTAACAAGAGTATAGTCAGTAATTAAAATAATCAAAACAACACAAACCCAATGAAAAATTCATGTTTGGTTGGCGGGCACTATAAAGTGGGCATCTACTTCCGCATTTCAAGCCAGCTACTAATCATCATGTGTTCATACACAGTTTTTACATTATTACATTTTAAAATATACGTACGTCAGATACTTTATGCTTGTTTCTAAAATTAAGAAATATATACTTTTTACTTGAAATTGTAAAATATCAACATTTAAGACTTAATCAAATGTAAACTAGCATTAATCATAGACCTAAATATGTAGTTTAATGGTTTTTTTTGGGGGACATAGTGTAATGGTTTGTTTAAGTGTGGATAATGTCAGTATATATATATATTATATTGTATATTGTTGATAAAAATAAAATCTACATTAACTGTGTTATATACACTATGAATCAATTGGAAGATTTAACTTTTTCCGACTAATTGAAAGATTAATTAGCGGATTAGGTGGATGAACTGTGAAGGTACGGTATTTGTATTAAAAAAAGGGAAAAAACAAATGTCGAGTGGAATGTGACATTGCGGTAAATCTGGTAATAACGAGAATTCAAGGAAACCGTGCCGTCGTCTCCGAATCTTAGTGGGTGTTTGCTTTATGAGAATTTAATTACTATATTATTTACAAATGATCATGATTACTTAATATGACCAAATTTACAGATCTACATAATACTACAAAATCTACAATTCTTAACGTGATTAATGTCACAAACGGCTTCTAGTTGGGGTAGGTTAAGTTAGACCTAAAATACTTTAATTTTACTATTAATTCCTTGCTTAAAGTTTGTGTTTTATTATATATAATGGTAAATAAATAACTTTTTAAAAGCAAAATAATCATCGTTTTTTTGTATATCTTGATTAAAAACTAATGTTGTTTGCACATAATCAATAAGGGTGAAACATTTGATATTAAAAATAAATAATCAATTTATTGTAATTTTTAGGTGTATACAGCGACACATAATAACGAATATCTACTTACTTGAAAAAGTTATGAATATTTTATTTGAAAAATGGAGGGAGTATTATTATGAAAATGTAGTACTTAATTTACATGAAAGAAGATAAACATTGCTACGTTCACGCACGGGCTCAAAAGTCAAAAAGCTGAGGAGCTCTATAAGTATATTTTATATTAGTGTCCCCAAAATGCGATGCTTTGGGATTTGATAATCATGACTATTCGTGGATAATGATTCCGATCATCTTTATTTTTATCAGCAGTTATATGAACTAAAAAGAATACATATTATGAAATCTATAAGTTTTGGGATGTAAATGGTTTAACTTCTGGTTGATGATAGACTTTCAAAACATTTGTCTTGTTTTGAATGGTTCAATTTTCCTTTCCAAATTAAGATTTAATTATATAAAACCTCAAAGGGTATCTCATGAATGGAGGTGTTCTGAGACTCTCTCAGTAATTAGTAATACATTGTCACTCATGATGTACAACGGTAAGTGACTGCATTGGAGCGTAAATATATAACATGTTAAGATTGAAATTCTCAACACAAACAATGTATTCAAGCTTAGGGTTTACACAATTTAAATATCAATCGGATTATGATTAGATATAAAGATGAATAAATTACAGAAACACCTCTAAAATAGAAGAAATGATGAATACAGATCTCACTGATTACACACGAAGCCCTCGTATTCACTTATTCTTCTACCCTCACACCCCTTAACACTCCTCATGAACATAGAGTACTCTATTTGATACTAATAAATCTGAATGACCATCAAACCCAATTATGAAATATATATTTTGAAAAGACTGATTAAAAAAGGAAAAAAAAAAACCAGAAAGAAAGAATAAAAAGACAATCTGTAAACTAAGATCTGACAACTTTAAGTAAAGTTCCCCATGTGAGAAAAAACAAAAGATCATCAAAGTAAAATCTCTAATAAAATAGGAGAAAAAAGAGAAAAAGAGAAGAAAGCTAATAAGTTCATGAGCTCTTTTTAACCTTTTTTCACCACGAAGATCCTCCTGTATTACTGAACATCCCACTCCAATATGTATTATTACCATGACTCTTCTCTTGGGTTGTGCTTGAAAGCTCTTTCATGTCTGAAAAAGGGAACAAAACCCTACTTGCTCCGTTCATGTCATCATTGTTATCTTGAGCTCTTTGGTTACTGTTGATGGTGTTATGTCCAATCCCTTGATGATGATCAATGGAGAATGAAAGGTTATTATTACTCTGTTTGTAATCAGGCATTGTTGGAAACCCTAAAGATGAGTAAAGGACTGAGTTTGAATCCATCATTTGACCAGGCAAGAACGTGTTCATGCCTCTTGAAGAGACTCCATTGGATCTTAGAAGCTCAAGAGCTGAGACAGGAGATGATGAAGCATAGATTGAGGATGAAGTATTGTTGTTCTCTATCTTGGGCATATGAAAAAAATGAGACATACCATGATGATGATGATCTTGCATGACCGGGAAAGACAGCAAGTTGAGATCTTTTGACTTATTAGGGATTTGGCTTGAGAAAAGAATCGGTGGGTTTAGATCTGGAAGCTTGGGATTAGAAGGTGAAGCTAAAGGTGTAGAGGATCTCTTGTTCTTTCTTGAGCTACCTCCGACAGGGACGTTACGAAGAGAGCCACCTTCGGTCCAATACCTTCGACAACCTTTGCAGAAGTATCTTGGTTGTGTGAGACTGTAGTTGTTGTAATAACAGAACTTTGTGTTTGTTGAGTTGCATCTTGGACAGTTTACTTTCTCTAGTGGCCTCGCCTTTCTAGTTTCCATCGTGGTAGCCGTGTTGTTGTTATTTCCGCCGGAGCCACCATTGGATGCGGTGGCGTTTGGCCTTGCGTTGGTGGCGATGAATGTTGGTTGTTGTTGCGATGTATTATTGTTGGTGCTAGAAATCATTTGCTCCATTGGTTTTACGTTTATCATTTCTTGAAAACCCTATAAAATTAAGACAGACTTAAATTATTCCCTAACCATGTCAAATTAAGCGAGAGAACAATAACAAGCAAAACCGAATCTAGAATTTCGCCAAGATTAGGGTTTAGTGAGATCAATAAAATTCAAGTAATAATTATGCCTTATTAAAAAGAAAAATATACTAGGTTTGTTGTTAACGTTAAATCGTCGGTGCGTTAACATAAAATTAATTAAAGAAATGAGACTAATTAAAATTTAGGAATTTTTTTGGTAAGACCTAAGCACCAAGAACAAAAGGTAACTAACAAATCATACCTTTTTTATCCATTAGTTATCAGACTTTTATAATTAATCACATGAAAAGTTGAAGTTGTATAGAGAACTAAACCTCCATAACTCCATTCGAGGACTTCGAAAGTTTCAAACGGATAACTCCTCCATGCAGTTTTCATATATAAAACTCTAAATTAAAACACATCATACATATTGATATCTCTGTGAGACTATTTATATAACCACTACTAGTTTCATACATACATGCAACACATATGCATATATAAGTATGTGAGTAGAGAGATAAAAGAGAGAGAGAGAGAGGGTAAGAGTCAGGGAGAAGAAACAAACAGATATAGCAAAGATATATCTTTTTACGTACCTGAGTCCACTTCGTAGCATCCATGAACTTCGACAAAGAGAAAGGCAGAGAGAGAGAGAGAGAAACTAAAGAGTAAAGAGCAAAGAGAGAATGTTTTGGAGATAGTTTTTTTTTTTGGACTTTTGCTTTTTTTGGGACGATATGGCTCTCTATGCGTTAGCTTTCACTTTATGGATGATGAAAGAAAGCAGCCAAGAGGAAGAAGAAGAAGAAGAGAAGAAACCTGCAAAATAAAATATAATAATTTATATGAAAAAAGCAAAAGGAGGGTTTGTTGTTTTTGACTAGTGATAATAATGTCTCATGGCCTCCCTCTCTGGTTCTTTTCTGGTCCCTCTTTTAAATCTTTTTAAAAGGAAAAAAATATCTGTCTAAAATATTGATTGTTCTATTTAACTAATTGGTTGGCTCAATAAACTAGTGGTTAGTATACAGTAAATAGTAATACATTGTTCTACACATCGTGGTTTAAACTATTCAAAATTTTCAAGAAATTTGGAGTTGAAATTACTTGCCATCATTTCATAATTTGCGAGTGAGTACTTGTGTAATTTATTTTTTTTAAGGTGAAATTGTGTAAGTAAACCTTGTAGTTATGTTTTTTTAAATATGAGAAATTATACCTTTATTATGCATGTTGATTACTCTCATTTCATATCATAATAATACAAAATGTGAGTGGAATTGTGAGTTGTATACTATTCCCGCCCACCCATTTTGTAATTAATATTATTTGTTTGGTTACGATCCGTCAATATTATTACCTTGTCAATTTCAAAATCCTTATACCATGACTATATACATAGATATCATAATTACTCTATATTTTATCTATTAAATGTAGATTAGGTTACGAAATTCGGTGGCGAACTTGGAATTCTAATTACAGATTAATTTATGATAAAGTTGTGACTAAATATGGTCGATAAAAACATATGATTTAATTTCTAACTTTATATAAAGTACTAACTATATAATATGTTGACTGTATTCAGGAATATGGATTATTCTTCGGACGTAATATATAATACTTTCTGTTATTCAATTATGTTATTTCGACGAAGAAAAGGGACACCAAAAATTCACCCTTTATTTCAGTTGTGATCTGCTTTTTTCGTAAAAAGGACCATTATATATTACACCACACATGGCTACATAAAGTTAATATGATTTTATTCTTAAATCGGTAAAGCTATACAACAAATGTCGCGTTAATCAGATAACTAAAATAAAACTTTGTAAAAAGCACATAAACTGAAAATCGAGGCCAATTATAAGAAACTAAGAAACTTTTGAAACTAACAATACTGCACGAGTTATTATGTCACATATAGCTTTTGCGTTTGTAAATAATCATTCTAAAAATATTTAATCACGTGTTATTTAAACGTTAAATTAAATATCCAACGTGCGACTTGGTTTACTAAAATGATTAAAATCACATTCATGTAATCAGAATATCGTTGTGGAATGTAGTTAACTAACACCAGTTACTTGAGCATAAAAATTTAATTGATGATAACTAATTTTCATATCGATACAACAATCAATTACAGAAACTATATCTTAAACTAATTATAGAAATTTGGGTATAATTTTGACAAAAGAAAGTAAAATGGTTAGTTATGTAAATATTCAAAAATGAGGGGTTAGAGAAGAAATAGAGAAGGACCGACAGGAAGCGACAAAAAGGAGGAGATAGGCCCCAGTTTTGAGGCGTGATTAGCTTTTTTGAAATCTAAGGACTTTTTTTTTTTTATTGATTCAATCCAAATCCCTGATGTTGACAACTGTCTTTTCCTACCCAAACACTCACCCCACTTTTCGCGTCGTTTTGATCTTCTAGCTTCACCTCGCGTGCCGTTTTCTTTCGCCTTGAACGACCTACCACGTCGACGTGGTCTTTCAGCCACTTTAGCTAGAAGAAGAAGCTTCTGTTGTTTTATTCTAAGGGCTTTATATTATATGGCCCATTAGTTTTATTGGGCTTAAGAGAACATTGGTATACATTAGTTAGTTGTCTTCACTCCAATACAGAATGAACGGATTTAAATGTCTATATGAAAATTTAAACAGTTTTTTGAAAAATTTAGCCACCAGAATTCGAAACTTTTTAATTTTTTATACAAAATATAATTTGTAGGACAATTTGATGTAATGATTATCGCATATGGAAGATCACATCCTAGCCACTAATTATGCATTATTTCTCCATTATATATGGCCCACATTACTTTTTCTCAACATCCTATACATTCGAAACCAGCTCGAGCCTCGAGCATCATAAAAGTAATTCCAAATTCGATAATTATTATGGTATTGGGCCACTATATAGGCTCAGAAAAGCCCATAATACAGTAAGTATTTGGTCCAGATAAGTAAACGACGACGTATATGCTTTGTATTATTTATAATAAAATCTCCCTCAAAAGCTAATTTTTTTTAGCTTCTTGTTCTTCCCTGGAACTGTTTGCAAAACAAAAGAAGACACGAACATGTAATCGATGGTTCCTTCGGAGACAACAGTTTATAAGACAAAGGTTAATTTACCCAGAAATAACATCTAGTGACGTAAGAGAAACAATGGAGACCTCTTGTTCTTGTGGTCTTCATGTCATCTTCATCTTCCGATGGATAAATAAAACTACAACTTCCGGCCACATAATCATCACCATCTCTCTTTTTCTTCCACTGGAACCACCGTTTCCACCCGACAAGACGACGGCGATGATTAGCTTTCAGAGGCATTTTGGTAAATTCGTCAGGAAGGAGCATCCTCGGAGGTAAATCAAGACACTTGGAGTAAGAAGGATGACGAACATGGTGTTTAGGCTTGCCAGGTTCTTCTTCCCATGAGAAAGGAATCGAAGCGCGAGAGAGTGAATCATCAGGGGACGACAAGAGTGACAATGATACGTGGTTATTAGTTACCGGTGATGACAAGTATTGTAGCCTTCTCGATTTTGCTGCTAATACATGTTGAAGTTTCGATGTGATGATTATCATCGCCTCATTATCGTCTTCTTCGTCAAAACTTGTATCTTTCTTGTTCTTTGTTTGGGTTTTAACCATATCTTTCTTGTTTCGCTTATTATGATTCGTTTGAAGAAGAAGACAATGGATTTAAATATATGTAATTGTCATTGAAGATGCAACGCTTGATATTTTTGGTACTGTTTAACTATTACCATTCCTCGAACTGAAAGTCAAACCGTACTCTTTTGTTGAGGAAAATTAGTCAGAATAAATTCGACTACAACAACAACTACAATCGTATTTAATTTTGTTTTCTTTCACCGATTATTTTTTTGCTATATGTATGAAGATTTAAGTTTTGTTTGATTTTATATCAACGGAGTACGATATTTGTAGCTAGCTCGTATATATATTATTATTTGAGTATGGATGTTCTTTTTATATGATTTATTCTGACTGAAATCTATTCAGTTTAGTAAGCTTGAGGCTTTTTTTTTTGTAAAAGTAAAACAATTGCTCCATACTACGTAAGTACATAACCACCACACCATGTACTCAAGTTTGAAAAAATTGTTCTGTTTTTTTTTTCTCTTTCTTCATAAGGAAAATCTGAATTAAACCAAAAATATTGATAACTATCAACTAAAGTATCATTTGTGAGTTTATCCGAAAATTAAGTAGATTTTATTAAAGAAAAATATGCTGCAGCTAAAAAGGTTGGAAATTAAAAGTTTGACAAAGGTAGAACTTGATAGAGAACAACATGGAGACTTATTTTTGGTACGATAAATTTGAAAATTCAGTGATTAGTTTTCATTTTTTTCGATTTCAGTTCAACTTTTAATAACACTCTACATTCTAGAAGTCAGTTTAGATCCACATATATATATTTACAAACTCCAAAATAAAAGAGAACCTTAACTAGTCTTGTTCAATAGTAACCCAAAAGAAAGAAAGTCGTTGACTCCTTTACTTTTCTATGACTTTCATATCATGCACACCGCTTTGATTTCCACGCCTTCAACGAATTTGTTGTACTCTCTAATGTTTATGTTCAAAACTTTTTTTTTTTGCCTTAATTATTGACTAAAAATATAATCTTTGAACCCATAACTAATTGATGTGTACTTGGTTTTGAAAATTGAATGGTTATGGAACACAACAAGTACATAAAGATGTAAACCGACCCATCAACCACTGTCCCAAAACCGAAATATTAAATCGCCAACTTGAAAAATTGACATGAAAAAAAAAAGAAGAGAAAAGACTTTTATATACACAGGCCACAGATTAAAAGTCTATAGACCCTTACGTACTAAAACGACGTCGCCGAACTAACCTTATAACAGCTAAAACTCTCACCACCTACTATGATTATCATCAAATCATTCATTACCATATTCTTCATTCTCTAACGACGAAGAAATCTTCAATTTCGTTGTCATTTTCTTAACCTCATCGCTCGAATATATAAATATCTTCTTAGCCATCTTGCAAAACTCACTGCACAAAAAAAAAAAACAGAACATTGAAAAAATCAGTTCCGGTTTAAGTTCACATTAACTGATTTGAGCTAAACCGGAAAATCTTTATGACTTACTTCCATGGATCATCTCCAGCAAGCATCATATCTCCTTCATCATCTGTGAAGACAACGATCCATTTGTCTCGAGGACGAAGCTGTCCTTGAATCTCAAACATCTCCTCAAGCTCCTCAATCAGTTCATCGTATGATTTCAACAGTGTTAAATCAACCGCACGACCAACCGCAATGCCTTGCATTTGCACCTTTTTCAATCCAAGATCAAAGAAATCAGATTTTCAAAACATTGTTGCTATGTTATATATGAGTTTTAAAGTGATAAAGATGATTACTTTAGTTCGACTTCTTGATGTTTGTTGCTTCTTCTGCTCATTCATTGAGGTTGGAGTGATGGGTTCTTGACACTTGGCAGCTCCACAAGTATCCATCGGTTGTTTGTCTTGAGGGATTGGAGCAGGAGAATTGCTTGTGAGATCGAATCCAAACAACCTATAGCTACAATTCGTTGGAGGAGGAGGAGGAGGAGTCTCGGGTTTGAAGCTGTTGTTTGAGGAGTATCCACCTGAATTTCTCTCAAGTGATGGATCTTGGAACAGTTTAAGGGATGCATTGATGGAATCTTGGCTCTGAGGGAGGCTGTACAAGAAACTAGGTGGGGCTGGTGTTATAACCGATGGCTCGATGGGTCTTGACCGCTTGCATTTCAATTGTGGTTGTTGAGCAGGGGTAGAAATTGGGGAAGTTGCCAAGAAAGGCTCAATCTCCCATGGTGAGACTTTGTCTGGTCTCTGAACTGTTGTTGGCTCATCCCATTGGACCTAAGAAAGACAAAGACAAAACATTACATAAAGATCATGTAATAAATAAACCAGTAAAACTTAAGATCGTGGAATGGTTAACTGAACCTGCAATGACCTCCATTTAGAAGCTGGCCATTGTGAAGATAGATCTCCGGTTCCCACAATTGTACCCGTAAATCTGAAGACACGCCAGGTTTCAGAATCAAGAACACTGAAAGAAAATGAACAGAGAAAATGGATTCTTACATTCTCTCAGGAGACTCTTCTCCTTCAAACCTCATTCTGAATCGGGTACCGAGTGAAAATCCATGCTTTATAGCTTCCATATATTTGTTCACCCCAACTATGAACTGGCTTATCCTGCAAAGGACAGAAAACTTTTCTTCAATCTAAGAGTCCTAAACCATCAATGTATATAAAGCAGAAATCATCTAAAGAAAATTTCTATATACCTAGGCTTGTAAAACACAACAAAGATTGTTGTTGTACGCACAGCATGAGAAGCTGTAGCAAGAACTCCCAAATGCATGCTCTGACTCGAGATAACCGAAGTAGGCATCGTGCTTTGATGCCGCGCTAATCGCCTCACTCCAACTCGTAAATCCCCATTCTCACCCCTGAAAAACACAAAGGCATTACATTAGGTTCATGAAACTAAAACAAGACCAGTGAAGTTTCAATTTCAAAAGTACCTCAAGAACACAAAAGCATCTCCAGCTACAAGTCTTTTCGAGGATACAAATGTACTCCAACCCGTTGTAAGCAAATGCCTCCGTGGTTGTCCTAAACCAAAAACAACACTCATGTCTCATATAGTCCAAACACAGTTTCAAAAAAAATAACACCAAGATTAGTATCAATACCTCTGAATATATGCTTAAACCTCCATTCAAACCCATGAAGATCTCTAGTCACAAGTTCTTGAGTAGGAGTAGCTTGTGTCATATCCTAAAAAGTGTAAAATTGGAGTGAGAATCAAAGCTAAAGTCTCTTCAATTGAGAAGATTTATATAATAAAATTTACCAAAGCAGGCAAGCATTCAGTGGCGTGTTTACGAAGAACAGAGAATCCACCATGAGTGCTTGTATCTGAAGCTGTTAAAATCTTCACAAACGAATGAAACATTTGCTTAGTTGGTTCAACCAGAGGTGGATCAAGACTTGTGGGTTCACTTTGCTGCAAACAAAACAATAAAATACAATCAACCCTCACTGAAAAATAAAGTTGAGCTTTTTTTGTTGTTGTTAAGAACTTACATCTTCCTCTGGTTGTAATGTGATCTGAGCGTAAACTTCATCTGTTTCATGCTCCGCCTTTAAATCAAAACTTAAACATTTTAACAGATTCAGTGGAAATTAAAAAAGGGGCAAAAAACAAGAATTATGATTGAATTTTTTACCTTTAAAGTGACACCAAGAACTCGACAAAGTATCTTTGGAGGAAGATCAAAAACAGGTATTTCTTCTGATGTGATTCCTTGATTAGTAGACGCCACAAGCTGCAAAACCCAGAATTTAGAAAGAGAATGCGAGAAAAGAAGAAAGAGAATTTAAGTGAAAGAGATGATTTTTGGGATATACTTGTTCCATGTGACCCTGAGGGAAGTAGAAAACTCTCTCGTCAGCACGAGGAACTTCCACTAATGGACCTGCACAAACTTTCCATAGCTCTGTGTATAGTTGATCTTGATAAAACCCTAAAATCAAACAACAACAACAAAAAACCCTAACAGTCACATTTCCGCGGCAAAACAATAACTGAATAGCAAAACAAAAAAAAATGTGAGCTTTGAAGCTATACGAGAAAAGATAAGAAAGTGGGGGTTTTTTTTTTTCTTTTTCTTTCTAAGCTCGTTTCCCGAGAAAATGAAGGAAAAAAAATCGAAACTTTTCAAAACCGATTTTGATTCTACAGAGTAAAAACCCCAAACAGAGTCACTGTTAGAAACAACAACAAAAAAATCGAAACTTTCTCAAGTCTCGGTCTTTTACTCACTTGACGAAGAATTTCCGAAATCGTCATCACCTTCAACACTCGCCATTGAAGAACCCAGATGAGAACTGGAGAAGAAGAAGTAGTAGAAGAAGAAGGAGAGGAAAATGAAACAAAATAAAAAGAAAAAAAAAAAACCTTCACGCGGTAAACACTACTCTTAACCCCATGAAAGAAACACGAGAGAGAGAAGAAAGAAAAGACCCATCAATGGAGAAGCAAAAAATAAAAAAAAAAAGCAAAAAACTTTATTAACAAGACACAACGGACGGTTATGTCCGTATTGATTGCAGAACGTAATTCAGGCACTGTTGGATAAAAAAAATCTCTCCTTTTTTTCCCTCCAGCCACGAAACCGATCTCTCTCTCTCTCTTAAATCTTTTTTTGTCTTCTCCTTTCCTTTCAGATTCCGTGTTGTTTTGCTTCAACAATCACAAACTTCTCGCCGTTTTTTCCCAGCTTTGCTTACTTCTCCACACCTAATCCCGATCTGCAGCAAACCAAAGCTGCTTCCTTTTTTGAAGAAGTCTCACGGTATCATGCACATATTCACACTCTCTCCTCTCTCTCTCTCTATATATATATATATAAATATCAAAATATAGAGATACTTTCTCTTAGTTCAGATCCTGGAGACCTGTCATTTCCACCCACAGTAACTTCAGTTGAATCTCCCTATTTTTTCTATTCATTTAATTTTATTTTTCTTAAATTGTTGTTTTTTTGTTTTATCATGTCACCGCTAAAAAGGAAACTCAATTCTGTTACCAAAAAATCAAAAACAAATTTAAATGTGCCAAAAAAAAAACAAATAAATTGTGTACAAGGCAAACGAAGGGACACGACGTTTAGGGAATTGCTTATGACTAATTACATTTTTTTTAAAACGTACGGTGCATTTAAAGGAGAGGGCCAATCTCAGCCGTCCGATAAAGACGATCGTAATAAATAAGCCTATCACTTACTCTATATCCCTAAATTGCCCCTTTTACTGATGACCCCGTTGCCGTTAAGACTTGACGGTGCCGTTACCCACATCGTCTATTTTTTTCCTTGTGTCTGGATCGTGGCAGGCAAACGTGTCGGCTTCTCTATTATTTATACCCCGGCCACATTTCTTTTTTTTCCGTTATTTTTTTTTTATGTAACATCAGATTATTTTTCCGTTACTGATTTTATTTTAATTTCACACTGTGGAATGTGAGTTAATTACACAATGTGCCACTGATCGTTTTCTTTTAAGGACCCACAAAAGCTATGGCTACACCCACACTCGCACAAGCCAGAGCCATGACTCTTTATGGGACGAGCGTCTTGGGAAGCGTGTGAGTTATGTTAGCACGTGCCGAGTCTGTTCTGAGTCGCGCGTGTTCATGTTGTACTCTTTTTTCTTCACGCGCTTCAATCTTAGCAAATAAAATATCGAAACTATATGCAAAAATCATGTTTACAGATTTGATAGAATTATCGTGAATTTAGAGAAGGTGAAATCTGTAACCTCAAAATAAAAGAAAAACAATTAAACGAATAGCGAGAGTGGAATACACGCGCTTCTGAAATGAGAGTGGAAAAGAAGAGTGATAAAAGTAGAGAAAGCCATGCCGAAGTGTCGGAGGAAAAAGTGGTCCCCACATGGACACGTCAGAGTTAGAGAAATTGCCACGCTGTTTAGTCGTATTCATGACCGACACGTGTCAAATGCTGACTTGTCCTACCAATTTTGCTCATTTACAGAGGAAAAAAACTCTTCTATTCCTTTTTTTTTTTTTTTTTTTCCCCAATGATAGTGAAGAAGAGCACAATCCAAAAATATTATTGCATTTTGATTTGTGAATACACTTGTATTTAACAAAATTTGCTACACAAATCAATGTAGGCTGTATAACTAAAAGCCAAGAGCTTAAGGAAAGACAGAGCAAATCTTAGACTAAACAGAGCATCTAGTGAGTCAAAACAGAGCACACAAGCAATCTGAACCTTTGTAATTATATACATTGCACACAAAATAGAACTTCACCACTTTTTTCACTATAATATAAGTTCATATTTCTTCAATGCTACCATGTATTCCACTGAAAAATATAGTGTAGAGTTCTCTAGCTAATTAATAACATAAGGCCTACAAGAGTGTTTTCTGCATCACGAAACACTATTACAATATTTAGTCATCGTTGATTAAATTATTCGACCGCATTACAAAACGAAATGTGATGCATCGTCAATTGGAATCATCGTCTAACTAGTTGATAGGGGGAAAAAAGTAATTATTAATTCTATCTAAAAAAAACTTTTTTAAATAGTGCAAATTATTGTACGGACAAATCCTTGCAAAGCAGAGAGGAGATTTGAAAGAATCGAATTTCATTACCAAAGGTTGAATTAAATAGTAGAAACATAATTTTAGAAAAGGCAATAGGATGAGATTACCATAAATAAGAGATTTAACGGAATTAAAAGATAAATTTAACAATGATTCTTATCCTGCATGAGATTTCATGCTTGCATCTATCACACAATATACACTTAAAGATCGATGATGCCAAATTTGAACGTCATTTTAGTTGCGTTATTTTTCTTTTTTTTGGTGAATATTTGAATTATCTTTTTAAAGTCAGTGACTAATTTAATATTTAGCTGCTACGGATTATTCTCTCAAGTTGAAATTATTTATACACACAAAAGGTTAGTAAAATTAAATAAATATAGGATTAGGAATATGATCATTCAAAGTGAATATGAACCCATGGATGGGAATAAATAACTATACATTAGTTAAGTATTTTTTATTTAAAAATTGCTTAGTGGTTTAGTGGAATCCATTCCACAAAATCTTTTTAATTTTGTTTATTCTTCTTAATCACTGTTATATTCCATTGATATATTTGATAATATAGTTAATCACCTGTTTAGTCATAGTCACCACGTCATTTAACAAGAATTTAGGAATATTCGTATTTCTTATATTTACATATTGTTCTAATCAACGGCACTCCTTTGTTATAAATTGTAAAAAGAGAACGAAAAGTTGTGGTTATCAACAGTATCATGGTCCTATCTTCTACTATATATAAGGTTATGGTTATCAACAAAACACTAATTACCATTGCGGTACGATTAAGAATTACCAATGTGTTTAGATTGTTTTGAGAACCAAATTACTAGCTTAAGTTGATAACCCTGTCAAAAAGATACCATTTGAATCCAACGTCGTATATATTTTCAACCTCTTGCAATAATTTAACTTTCAAATTTTCTACAAACCAAACTTATTTTAAAATTATTCTGTACAATTTCGCTATTTGACCGTACACCACATTTCGTCCCTGTCTTCCATTATTCTTATAACGAGTATAAATTATACGTTTTTTGGACAAAATATAAACAGAAACTCATATATTGTTTTTATTTTTTGCTTTTGGTGGAGCATTTTAGGGGTAATTATTTTAATAAATCTTAGCATAGGTCTTGTTAGACAATAAACAATAATTTTAAGCTGTGCTAAAATCATAAAAACGACTCTTCCCTCCTCTTAAAGGGTAAGGTGTCTTAAAACTCTAAGTTCGCTAATCACCAATAATTCTGATAAATTAAAGTATGATTATCTCTGTAGTCAATAATACTAATCTACAAATTAAAAGCTCTCGATGCATATACATCGGATCCGTTATTCGATTAGGATGAGAAATCAGATCCTTCCTTGTTGCAATACGTAACTTGGAAATATTTTCCTTTTGATGAAATTAAAACATTACATGCGAAAAAGACATTTACTCTCTCTACTTATACATATAACAACTGCTAAAGATTATTTCATAATAATTTGGAAAATGAAACCATTTTTTGTACTATAAGTCTATAACCAAACGAAGTTCACAAATACTTAAAATTTAGTAGTTTGTAATTTTGTATTAGTGATATCCATGTCTCGTCATTCGGATTCAAACTTTTATATTGCATGTTGTTAAAAAAAACAAAACGAATTAGCATAACGTGTGACCTGTATGTACAGAATCGTAAACGTACAAGTGTGTATATTCAACAGTGTTTAGTTGGATCAAATGATTACGTTTTTCTAAATGTCTTTATTGTACTCCGATCCGTATGATTACAATGTTATTTGGAACATATGATCATTATTTTCTTCTTTTCTCAACAATATATAGGTTGATTAATTTTCTATGGTTAAAAACAAAATAAAAAGTTGGCCAAGTATTAACTCATTGAAATTGTATGCATAATACTAGTAAATATATTTTCTAGAAATTTCATACGTATTTTTCTAGATCTAATAAAATGATGACATGAATATGTATGCATTACTAGTATCATTCTTGTTTTATTGGATTTTTTTTTTTTTTTTTTTTTCCTTCTAAAAACTTTTATTAAACAATGGGTATTACAACCATACAATGCCAATACAAAACTTTACAGAAGCAATTTATTACATAAGCAAATTTATGAGCCATATGTTGAAAATGACATAATCGAAGAAGTGAATTTAACGATGCTTCTTTTCCATAAGCCTTACTCGCAATCATGTTACAATACATGATATGTTCCTTCTTTAAAAGCCATCTTACTCGAGTGTGATACAGATGCCTTATTGGCATTCTTTGTTTGAAACTCCACATCACATAGAATAAACCCGTTGCTCCTGTAATGAGTTTTATAATCTCGACATTCCGATACCAATTAGTCCATATCGGTGCCATTGCACGAAGCAAAAAGTTTGGCTTGATACCGGTGTAGACCCATCCTATTGTACATTCCACACCATAGACGTCGTTGGAGATCTTCACGACAAATCCCTTCGATGTAATTCCGGGATCCCATATGCATCGAGGATTGCAAATTTTCACTAAATCGCTGTCGACAATTATTGTCGCCATACCGAAAATGCCGAGCATACCCGGAAAAAACACCGTGAATGAACCACATAATCATCACACGGACAAGTACTCCTCTGGAAGGAGGAGAGAAAACCCTAACAACGAAAAACGTAATGACGTCGGCCACCGTCGTGGAGACCAAAAGTTGAAACAAACCCAACCATGAATTTGTTAACAAAGACATCATCATCTCTAAATTCTCATGTCCTTCGCTGCCAGACAAACCCATCACTATCACTAAGACAAGATAGCCGTAACTTACCCGACGAAACAGAGAGACTTGTTGGGATTCATGCATGAGAAGACTTGCGACATCCATGGCTGCATAGCCCATAGCCGTAGACAACCCCACACTTCTATTTGTTATCAAAAACTCCATCAAACCTAAAAGCTTATCTCCTACGCCGCCACACCAGACCATTTTTGTCCAGAGAAGATCAATGTTGTTGCCAATGGAATTAAGAACAACGAGAACCAAATGGAATTTCCAACGTAATTGACGGCCATGAAAATCACCAACAGAGAGAATAAGAGTTGAATTATAGAAACTTTCCAAATATGAAAAAGTGGGACTTTTGCATTAGCCATTGGACACATATAAAAGAAATTCAAATGGTGTAATCATATCATTCGCACTCTTTGGCTATTTTCTCCGCTTCTTCGATCCCAAACCTGAAGTGGAGAGTCACGCAGGTCGCAGGGATTGTCAATTATTAAGGGGCCTTTTGGTAATTTTCAGGAAATCGTCCGTACAGTCCCAAGGGTCGCTTTCGACCTACTTCACTCCCACTTAACCGTTAGGTCAAGCTCCCATCTGGGAGAATCTTTTTGAGATCCTTTACCAAAGTATACTATTTAAAAGAGTCCGTACTTTTTCTTCATAGAAAAAAACAATCTCATTGAACGAGTTCAAGACTAATGTTTAATACAATCAATACATGATAAAAACAACATTAATGATATTTGCATGGCACCACATTCATATCCAGTATTTATAAAAACCCAAACATTGTTCCTCTTACCAATATAGGACTAACTTAGGTGAGATTCTGTGTTTTCTCATCCATTATTGTTCTCTTTTATTAAATTTGTTTAAAGTAGTTAGGTATGACTCCAACGATATACCAATCTATATTTATTGTTTTCATTTTAATTCAGTTAATCAAATGTAAATGTTACATCACAAGGGATTGATCGATTTGTTATCATTATAAATGGAAAGTAAAGAACAGCCAAAAGACAAAAACATGTACATATATATGTTTGATTCTGGATTCAATTATACACACTGTAAAATTTATGTGTAGCTTTGGGTGAATCCGTGAGTTGAGTGATAAATTCAGTTTTAGATTGATGTGAAAAAGGTGAATAATAATATAAGAGCAGAGGGGACCATAAAGATAGATATATCACATGATCTCTTGATCAGACTGAGAGAAGATGTGCCTCAATTTCTCTTCTTCCCCCATTATTTGTCCCTGCATAACCTTCTGGTTCTGGATAAGTCTTTTTACTTAAACATTTAGCAACTATAGCAACTAACACTCTAACATTAAATGTTTAACTAGAAATGAAGATTTAAACTATAGAAAATGAATATCTCAGTGAAATTAAAGGGGATTAATAAGAAAAAGAATTGAGAGAGGGTAGGGACCAAGTGAGGATGAGTTTTATAGGCTATGGACTCAAGAAACCGAAATTATTGAGAGATGACAATAAGAAATGGAGGCGATTAGGTGTTATTAATTAATAAACTAGACTAGATTAGTAGATAGGGGCTTTCGTGTTCATGCTCCCATTCTCATTTGTTCATTAGCTATCTCATCTCCTCCCACATTTTTTGTTTCATTTCTAAAGAGTTTTAAAATCCAATAATACTTGCAAAATATTTAATTTCAATTATGGAGCATGCGTGCCACCTACTTCTCATTCCACTGCTGTTTATGTTTCTTAGTTATTCTATTAGCTCGTTAAGAAAATAAATTAAAACTTCAAACTGATTTTAAAATTAACAAATATCATAAAATCTCGTTTTATTTTCTTTTTAGAAAGGCTTCTAAGGGATCTTTCCTCATATTTTATGAAAATTTTGAAACATTTTGTGCTGTATCTAGCAAAAAAAAAAAAGCATCGTATTTCTTCTATAAAATAACCCTTCAAAATATACAAAACCCAATCTTTATATATATAGTTTCTGTTTGCTTCCCACATAATCTCCTAACTATTAAATCCTGAATTTACCAAACTGTTTGTTCCGGTAGTCCATAATAATATGATGGACTCCAAATTTTACAACCCATGAAGGGGAGATATCTGGTTTTGAGTACATACCCAACGAGCCCACATTGTTTATCTATTCTCTTATTGCACTACTCAAATGCTTTAGAGATATTTCTCAGAGGCCTCTTAGACATTTTGGTTACGTCTTAAAGCCCCATTCTATTCCAAAAAATATGGGCTAAATCTCCCATCAAGAATACTGAAACTGTACAACGAAACAAAAACACAGGAGGATAAGGTTCCACCGAGACTTGAACTCGGGTTACTGGATTCAGAGTCCAATGTCCTGACCACTAGACCATGGAACCAATTTGCACACTTCCACACAGTAACATTAGATATACCAAGTTACAAAATTAAAACTTCATTACTTCGTCAGTAGGAAATGGGGAATAAAGTCAATAATTTGGTAATGATGATTTTTTACCCGGGAAAGATAAAGAAAAAGGAAAAAAACAAAGTCGTTACATAATTAAAGTAAACCAAGTGCTTTCACACACGAGCTTCATTTTGCCTTTATATACTTTTTAGTAGATAGATAGACTATAGTCTATATAAGATCCATGTGACAATAGTTAAAATCCTCTCATATTTTCATTTCCAATGGAGCGAAAAGTCTTAAATACCCTCTTCTTCTCCGTCTTTGCCGTTCTCTTCTTCACCTCCTCTGCTTCTTCCCAATACCAAACTCTCGTCGTCAACACTCTTCCTTCCTCCGCAACCCTCTCATGGCCAGAATCGGAATCTTTAACAGATGAATCCGTTACCGAATCCACAACTTCACTCTCTGTCCATTTATCACACGTAGATGCTCTGTCTTCCTTCTCCGACGCATCTCCGGCGGACCTCTTCAACCTCCGTCTCCAAAGAGACTCTCTCCGCGTCAAATCCATAACCAGCCTCGCCGCCGTATCAACCGGACGAAATGCCACCAAAAGAACTCCACGCTCAGCAGGTGGATTTAGCGGCGCCGTTATCTCCGGTCTCTCACAAGGAAGCGGAGAGTATTTTATGAGGTTAGGTGTTGGAACTCCGGCGACTAACGTTTACATGGTGCTCGACACAGGAAGCGACGTCGTTTGGCTCCAATGCTCTCCTTGCAAAGCTTGTTACAACCAATCCGACGCGATTTTTGACCCCAAGAAATCCAAAACTTTCGCCACCGTACCATGTGGGTCTCGCCTTTGCCGGAGACTAGACGACTCGTCGGAATGTGTCACTCGTCGAAGTAAGACTTGTCTCTACCAAGTATCGTACGGTGATGGATCATTCACGGAAGGAGATTTCTCAACCGAAACGCTGACGTTTCACGGAGCGCGTGTTGATCACGTGCCATTAGGATGCGGTCACGACAACGAAGGCTTGTTCGTTGGTGCGGCTGGGCTATTGGGCTTGGGCCGTGGTGGGTTATCTTTTCCGTCGCAGACGAAAAACCGTTATAACGGAAAATTCTCTTACTGTTTGGTTGACCGGACGAGTTCCGGTTCTTCTTCTAAACCGCCGTCAACTATCGTCTTCGGAAACGACGCCGTTCCGAAAACCTCTGTTTTCACGCCGTTATTAACGAACCCGAAACTCGACACGTTTTATTACTTGCAGCTTCTTGGAATCAGCGTTGGTGGTTCGCGCGTTCCCGGCGTTTCGGAGTCGCAGTTCAAGCTTGACGCCACCGGAAACGGCGGTGTTATTATCGATTCCGGTACTTCGGTTACTCGGCTGACGCAATCTGCTTACGTGGCGCTTAGAGACGCTTTCCGACTTGGTGCGACGAAGCTGAAACGTGCTCCGTCGTATTCTTTGTTCGACACGTGTTTTGATCTATCGGGAATGACGACTGTGAAGGTTCCGACGGTGGTTTTTCATTTCGGAGGCGGGGAGGTTTCGCTTCCGGCGAGTAATTATCTGATTCCGGTGAACACTGAAGGACGGTTCTGTTTTGCATTCGCCGGAACTATGGGGAGTTTGTCGATAATTGGAAACATACAGCAACAAGGTTTCCGGGTCGCTTACGACTTGGTTGGGTCACGGGTCGGGTTTTTGTCTCGCGCGTGTTAGATTTTGAGTTTGAGTTGACTGATTTATTCCCAAAGTCTTATTGGGGAAAAAAAAATAATCAAAGCAAATTATCAAACATTGTTATCATCATCGATTTATCTTACTACTCATTAGACATGATTAATGAAGATCCCTAGATAAATATTGTACTACAACTTCTTTAAGTCAGAGAGAAGTAAATCTTGAATGTACTGTTGTCCTTTGAAAATTCTTAAAGCAAAATGAAATTATTGATAATTCACTAGCTTAAGTGTTCGTTTTTAAATGAAATTCAATGTATCTTCTCATCTTGCTTTAGCAGCACTAGACAGAACTTAATTTGGATTACTTTTTCTATCTTCTTCATAACTGATCGTTTTTTGTGCTCATGTAATATATGGCATTGGTCAGTGCGTCTCGATATTTTTGGTATGAACGTACATATGTATATTGTGTGTATCGTAAACGACACATGGTATCGTTAATGCAAGATGGACGTATGTTCTTGGTTTTTGGCTCTCCATGTGAGTGAGAGAGTGTGAATATCGGACACCAGTTCTTGGTTTTATGTGTTATATTATATGAAGCAGTCTCTCTATTTTGACAAAATAATTTCTGCAGTAAGTAACGAATCCGTAATAATAATAAAAAATCATAAGTGTGATCGATGGAAAAATAAAATAAAAAAACATCCTCAATGACGGATACAGAGACAAAGTGCGGTACGGTGGCCCACGTGGTCAGAATAATGCAACCACCGAACGAGCCACCAATTTTATACCCACTCCCTTCCCGCTCTTTCCTCCGCAAATATCTCCGATCACTCACTCACTTGCGTATTTAGTGGGAGATATGTGATCAGTCATTTTTATGCTCCTCTTATCAAAAATTCAGCCTTCTAGAAACTTATTATTACTTCTCTTGATAAATTCCAAATATATTGTATAGTCTATATAACACTCCCTAATGAGTCATGATTTCCCTTTGTCTCAAGAAATTATGTGAATTTAACGTATTGGTCAAAAGTAGAAATTTAGCATCTGTTTTTATGTGCTTTTGGAACCTTACCAGTTACAGCTTAGAAGGTTCTTATAACAAGGTGATTTTATTTGTTTCCATCATAAAATTATCTAAACACATTATCTATGACTATCAACACAATTAAAGCAATTTCCACCGTTTTTTTTTAATTTTCTTTGTTTTTTTTTTAAACCAGACTGGCACACATATCTTTCTTTTTTTGGTTATTTTGTTCATATATAAAATAAAACTGTTAAAGTAATTTTAAATATACGACAACTTTCCGTAACATGATGACAATTTGCATTTCCGATTTATTCCGGGACAAGTGTCCTGTTAGATTGATATTACTGACTCGAAGTCCACGAATCTATCATCTTGCACGTGACATATGGGACAAAGGAAAAACATGACACAATCCTTCAATTATCTCCACTTATTTGGCTATTTATGTATTTTGTAATTATTTACAAGTAAGCCCGGTGGATTAACATGATGTAATACTGGCATGGGCTAATAACAAAAATAGGCCCATAACAAAACAAAAGCCCATATACGAAAATGACCAATTTACCCACCATCTCCTAAATCTTCTTCGACCTTGCGCCGTTCAAACTTCAAATCGACGGCGAAAAATTCAGATCATACTTCCTCGATCCGTTACCGTAAAGCAATCCCCAGTGTTTCTCCACGGCGGCTCCAGTTTTCTGATCTTCATCGAACAGAGCAAAGATATACACAGGAACTTTATTCCATCTTCTTCTCAGATGCTCAACGAGCCGTTGGTTAAAAACCCTAGCGTTCTCCAAATTAGCAGCTGTTTCACCTGGATCTCCACTCGATGGCCACCCAATCTCCGATACGACCACCGGAATTTTAGGTAACCCTAAGGATTTCACGGCGGAATCAACAGAATCCAACATTATGTCGAACAGATTGGTGTATGCAACTCCAGTGTACGGATCTATGTATCTCCGTCGTTTGGGGCTATTCATCGGCTGAAACAGAGCAAAATCCAGAGGAATCGAAGGGAATGATTGTTTATAAGCGAGGTATGGGTAAACATTCACCATGAGAGGTGAATTTGTTCTTTGTAGAAACCTTATGAGTGGTTTCAAAACCGAATCACCGATCGATTGATGGAAAATCGCAGTCGAAGGAGGGAATCTTCTGGAAAGAATCGCGAGGGAATGTGTTGTGGACACTTTGATCTTCTTGTGTAATCTGTATCTCTTGATTGCTTTGTGAACATTGACCATAGCTGAGACTAAGTGGCTGGAGAATTGCGGGAGTAAGGAGACTTCGTTTCCGATGGAGATCGTTGTGATGATTGTGTTCTTGTGGTAAGGTAAGATGAAATTTCTGATGATTGATTCAGCTTCGGAGAGATTGGTGGCTAGAGATGGGATCTTGTCGTTGGGGATACAGAGGGAGAGAGTGATTCCAGTGTTGGCGAAAGATTTGGTGATTCTTGGATCCAAGTCAAAGGTTTTGACATGTTTGATGGAGAGAGAGTTGACTAGCGATGGTATTGCTTCTGGTTGAGGAAGGTTTGACCCGTAACGACCATAGTTGATTCCGATCACTGGACCTGGAAAAACGAACAAGAAAGTCTTTGAGAGTGAAAGATTCAATTTTCTCGGGAATCACACAACGGAATCGAAGATTATTTACTATCTTCAAGATTGGAGCTGTATTGTCCGTAGTTGAGTCCGATTTGTGGACCTGCGAGAAAGTGATGGAAAATGAGAGAAAAAGAGGATGAACAAGAAACGCAATGAAAGTGCTTCGTTTTCTCGGGAAAGTATAACAGAATCACCAGATTTTCTTACCTCCAAGCGATGGAATCATGGAGCAAGAAGCCATGGAGATGGAAAAAACCAGGAGAATCGAGAAAGCGTATTGCATCGTCGTCATATGGATCATCTTCATCTTCTCTCTCTTTTTTATTTTTCTCGAATGTGTTGAGTGATTTTGGTGGGAAGAGGAAGAAGACTTCGTAACTATATAAACGATCTTTATCGTAAGTACATAAACACCCATCGAATTTGGTGAAGGGAGGTTAGAAAAAATAGGGGTACTTACGTCATTTCGACCATAGGGGAAAACCAAGTTAACCGAATACGCCCAGTTTAATCAGATATTAAACCAGCAAGTGGGGAGAGAGGGGCAAATAAGTCATTTCGAATAACGGAGTAAACCGACTATAGTGGGAACAAATATTAAACCAACACAAATCTGATTTTCTTTTTCGGTTTTGTTTTTATATCGTCTTCTTCGGAAATTAGAAAGGAGAAATCTGAATTTTCTGATTGCCGGCGATGGAAGGGAGAGATGACGGCGGAGGGAAAGTTATTGGGTTGATAGAGAAAGCGACGAAATCAACTGCTCAAGAGGTTGACCCGAGGCTGCTTAAGGCGATCAAATCAATTGTTCGTTATTCTGATTCGGAGGTCCGACTTAGTGCGCAAACCCTAATGGAGCTCATGAGACATAACCACTCTCAGGTTTTTCCTTATAGTCTATGTTGTTCACATTTTTATTTTGTACAATTTTCTGATCCTTTCAATTCATAGAAGTGGGTTCGTGAAAAATTTGCTCTTTTAAGGAATAGTCAATGGTGATTGATCAGCGTTTATTGGTTGTCAAATAGAGTGTAACGCGGTGATAATTTTCTGTGGCAGGTTCGATATCTGACGCTGTTCATAATCGACGAGCTTTTCATGAGATCAAAGCTCTTTAGAACTTTGATAATTGAGAATCTTGATCAGCTTTTGAGTTTAAGTGTTGGCTTTAGAAGCAATCTACCTCTTCCTGCACCACCTCCTGTTGCCACTATGTTACGTTCAAAGGCTATTGAGTTCTTGGAGAAGTGGAATTTGTCTTTTGGGTTACATTACAAGGAGCTTAGGCTTGGGTTTGATTACCTTAAGAATACCCTCAAGTTAAAGTTCCCTGATTTACAAGCTAATGCTGCACGGATTCAACGAGAGAGACAGGAGAGGGAGATGAAGACAAAAGAGATTTTACGGAACAAGTTTGATTCCTTGAGGGATAGTTTTGGACTCTTCAAGTATGAGATTGAGGTAACTATAAAGGAAATCAAGGAGTGTATGGAAATTGTTCAATGGAGAGGGGATGATGGTGTTCCACTTGCGATATTAGATGAGGAAGATTTTGAGGAGATCCGTTGTTCTCATCTGAGGCAAATTCGTCTTGATTCACTCAAACAATCAGAAAAGGTTGAAGAAACTAGTGAAAACAGAGTTGTATTTGATGTATTGAGGGAACAGTGCAAGCTTCTAGTGACAAAGCATCTGATCTCTGTTCAAGAAGGGATCTCTCTTCTCATCAGGGTTGACGTAAGTGATAATAGAACGAGAGATTCCATGTTGAAAGACTTAATCGATATCAGGAATAACATATTGGCTGCTAAAAAGAAATGGGAAGAAGCTGGTTTTACAATTTCAGTGATGACTGGTACTCACGAGAATGAAGAAACAAACGAGGAAGAAGAAGATATCTGGGAGGAGGATGATGGTAAGGTTGAAACTGATTCAGTCAAGAACGTGGCTCCTGTGACAAGAACTCAGCAGAGTGAGAATTCGTCTTTACCATCATCAAGTGAAGCAAAGAAGTCTACATCAGAATCTAGGTCCAATAAAGCGTCAATCACTAAAAAAGTTGGAAGCAGTGGGGGCTCTCTTAGGGACAAGCTAATTTCTGAAGCGCCTGTGATGAATTGGGGATCACAGTTGAGTAATTGGGACTCCACTACGGAAGTTCGAGCTAATTATCGGGGGTTAGAGCTCGAGAGCCACTGGGGTAGGGTGGATCAAGATGCTGTAATTCCGGCAGAGAAAATAGCAGAATTGAATCTTCAGGCAACTGTTTATAGAGAAGAGAGAACAGAGACACCTCCATGCCGTGCTCCTCTAAAGAAAGGTGGTCTTTGCCAGAGAAGAGATCTCAGAGTCTGTCCGTTTCACGGACCCATTGTACCTCGGGATGATGAAGGAAACACCATAGTCCAGGAATCTCCTTTAGATGAGAGTGAAAACCAAACTTCTTCAACTACAGGGATCAACCAGGATGTGCCTATGGATGAAACAACTTCAGATTCTGATCCTAATCAGTTAGCTAGGCAAATAGCGAAACAGGCTCTGAAGAATATCCGGGAGAAAGACAAAGAAGTGATGAGGAAAAGAGCAAAGCTTGTTAAGGTTAAGGTTAAGGAACACAATCAAGAAGTTCTGCGTGATGCTGCTATAGCCTCAACTTCTAGATCAAATGTTATCGATGAAGAGTTTGATAGAGTTTTTGCTGCAAGGAAAAACAAGAAACAAACCTTTTCCTCGATGCGGCGAAAGAAAACAACGGCTAAAGATAGAATATCCCAAAGACTGCTTAGTAATCGTGTAAAAAGTACTAATCCGCAGCAGTTGGCTCAGGGCAATGATGAAAAGTGCCGGGAAACATCGGCTAACCAGTGGTAACAAATTACTAAAAGCTTCCTAGTTTTGATCCAGTAATGCCTTAAATTTGATTGTTTGATGCAAATAGAAGTAAAAAGCTAATGAATAGTTGATGAATAATCAGATCCTGTTGTGATCTCTTTTAGCTGTGAAAACAGTTCTAAAGTCAAGTCTCAGATTATATTTTTCTCAGACAAAACCCAACAGAAAGAGGATTGTACAAATGACATGTTCTGTTAAAAAGCAATGACAGATCATTGAAGCTGGATGGATCGTTGTTGTTCGCTTTTTTCTTTTATGTGGTGCGTTTTAAGGATAATATCACTCATGAGACCGATCACTCATGAGAAGCAATTATTTATGGAATAATTTTGACTTTTTAGATTGTGAGAGTTTGCTTGAGATGAAGAAGAGTAAAATGTTCTTTTACATTATCATTGGTCTGTGAAGTGACTTTGAACCCAATCCACATAGCATTACTTATTCCTCTTATGAATTTCATATTCTTAAGGCGTCTAAGTTTACCTAAATACATCTCTTTAAGTTTTTATTAAAGTAAAAAGAACGATGAGTATGTTTTTCATGAATCTTAGAAGTTTATTTAGTGGTCGATCTATGCCATCGTTTTTAAATCATTTTTCTTGTACAAATGAATAGAAATTGTTTGAATTAAAAGTGAATAAAAAACACGTAATAATAGACACACATTAGAGAAAAACATCTAGAATAAAAAAGAAGCAATCATGTGCACCATGTACATATTTAGGCCCATCTTTACTGGACCATGGCCCTTTATTAACATATTTTAAAAAGTTTTCTAAACATTTTTTTTAACATTAATTAAAAACGAAGAAATCATTGAGCAAGAGAGGATATATATTACTAGAAAATGATTATTTTTCCCTATCCAGTAATTCTTCTGAATTTTTTTCCAAATAACATTCTCTCTAACACAGCCGCCTTTGTGACCGTCCGATTTAAATCAGCGTTTCCGGTTCATTTGACGGCAGCTCTCTCTCTCTCTAGAATTGATGAAGAAAAGCATCTATCTTTATTGTTTTTGAAAATTAACAACACTTCACGAGGGTTGACCTGTTTCGGTGGTGTTTCTTCAATTCATCCCGAATTTTGATCTTTCGTTTCGATCGAAGATCAATCAAAGTTTCCACCTTTCTTCAATGGATTTGGATAGCATGGACTGTACATCAACCATGGATGTGACTGATGATGAAGAGATCCACCAAGATCGCCATTCCTACGCTTCTGTTTCCAAGCATCATACCAATCACACCAACCTGAATGCTGCTGCTTCTGGGCTTCTCCCGACCACAACCAGTGTTCATGAGCTTCTCGAATGTCCTGTCTGCACCAATTCTATGTACCCTCCCATTCATCAGGTCTTTTTTTTCAATCCCTTGTTGCCTGATTTCGTTTCCCCGGATCTTTAATTTGTTGATTCAGTTTAGGGTTTTGAGTTTCTGATGAGAAACATATGTATTTGGATATTGAAGCAGTGGTTGTGTTGGTCTTGTTAGGATTCTGATTTGACTAAATTATGGTTTGTGCTTCTGTGTATGAATTGATTTGGTTCCACTTAACAATTGTCACTAAATTTTGTCAATAGCTTTGATAACTTCCAAGATTCTTCTTATTGTCTCTTTAGAGAATTATGGAATAAGACTTACACAATTATTTGATTTCCCCGCAGTGTCACAATGGACATACGCTGTGTTCAACCTGTAAAAACAGGGTTCACAACCGCTGCCCAACTTGTAGACAAGAGCTCGGTGATATCCGTTGTTTGGCACTGGAAAAAGTAGCCGAATCACTTGAACTACCGTGTAAACACATGTCACTTGGATGTCCTGAAATCTTCCCTTATTACAGTAAGCTCAAACATGAGACTGTATGTAACTTCAGGCCTTATAACTGTCCGTATGCTGGATCCGAGTGTTCTGTTACTGGCGATATCCCTTTCTTAGTTGCTCATCTGAGGGATGATCATAAGGTGGATATGCATTCTGGGTGTACTTTCAACCATCGTTATGTCAAGTCTAATCCTCGTGAAGTCGAAAACGCCACATGGATGTTAACTGTAAGTACATATGAATCGTGCTTCATAGTTATCTGTACACTTAGTTAAGTTTTGGGGATTTGTTTAAAGGATTATTTATGTTATGAGATTTTATCATTCTGGTATAAACTATAATGCAATCAGATGAGTCGAATTTTGCTTTTGTTGCGAGTTAGGTTTCAATCGTGTGCTTAGAGATGTCCAATTTCGGTCTATTGAATATAAAAAGTGAATGAAAACCTAGTACTTTCCTAGAGAAGGTCCAATTGTTTATGGAAATTTGTCTTGACATCTATATTCTATGGCTAAACTCTTGCTCTGCAAGATCTATGGTTGTGAATCTTCCATCTCTCTACACATATTATTCAGGACTTGATATACTTTAACCATTGCATATGCTAATCAAGGTTCCTCTGTTTTGGTTTTGTTTCTGGTTCAAATATAAAAATCAGGTCTTTCATTGCTTCGGACAATACTTCTGTCTTCACTTTGAGGCATTCCAGCTCGGAATGGCTCCAGTCTACATGGCGTTCCTGCGTTTCATGGGGGACGAGACAGAAGCGCGGAACTACAATTACAGTTTAGAAGTGGGAGGTTATGGGCGGAAGCTGATATGGGAAGGAACACCGAGAAGCGTAAGAGACAGCCACAGGAAAGTTAGAGACAGTCATGATGGACTAATTATACAAAGAAACATGGCTCTCTTCTTCTCAGGTGGGGATAGGAAAGAGCTGAAACTGCGAGTCACTGGAAGGATCTGGAAAGAGCAACAACAAAGTGGTGAAGGTGGAGGAGCTTGTATCCCAAACTTGTCTTGAAAATGGAAAAGAAATCAAATTGATTTTTGAAAACCTCCCCGACTTGTCTCTGTCTCTGTTAACCATGGTTCTTGGTAGTGATATATCTGTAATTAGGGTTTTCTCTGACGATAAACTTGGGTTGTTCTTATGAATTTCTCTCTTGTCTTTCTCTTTCTCATGTCATGGAGGTTTTTTTTAATATATAAAGTTTCATCACAATTCTGCTGTATCTGGAAAATGTAAAATGTTGAACCTTTTTCAACAACGGTAGTGTTCATAAATCTCTAATGATTGTGTTGTTTAAGGCATTAGCTTTGTTTAAGAAACGACAACGTTTCATCAGTGTTCTGTTAAACCCAGCTTTGGGGTTTTCACTTGGAAGTGAGCTTTATCCCTTTGGCTCCCATCAATGGAGGTTCTAAACTCTGCTCTTCCTAATAATGGTTTCTTCAATTTCTCGTCTTTCTCGTCCAATTCGAACAGGAGACTCACTAACAAGAGAAACCAACATCGATTCAACTTGCCCATCTCCAAATTCCACTACTATCGCGTTTCAATTCTCCGAGTCTCGGCTCGGTTCGGAGAGACCTCGAGGAGACGTAATTCGCTGAGGAAGAAGATTATCGGTGATGAGAATTGGCGTTCGACTCCGAAATCTTCTGACCCAGGTACGAAACCTCTAAACGAAAGCCATAATTTCGATCACAGTGATGATTCGAAAGATAGCACCGAGGGATTGAAAGATAGGGTTGCTCAAGATTCGAATTTGCTGAATGAGCTTGAAAATTGGGTTGCTAGATATAAGAATGAAGCAGAGTATTGGGGGATTGGTTCGAATCCCATTTTCACTGTCTATCAGGATTCTGTTGGAAACGTGGAGAAAGTTGAGGTTGATGAAGACGAGATCTTTAGTAGAAGATCAGGTCTTGAGGATTTGGAATCAGTGAGTTCTAAGGTTCTATATGCGAAGAAATTAGCTGAACAGATGGAGAATGGGGAAAATGTGATCCATAAGGATAGTTCTCTTGTCAAGTTCGTTTCTTCTTCTTCTTCTTCAGAGGAAGAGTTTCGTTTTGTTAGCTCCATCCAAAACGCAATTCTTCGTCTTGACTTAATTCCAAAGTTGCCGGCGATTGGAAGAGCTGTTTTGTGTGGTTACATTGGACTCTGGTTACTGAAGACGGTGCTTGTGTATAGGAAGAGCAATGAGGTTGAGTGTACAGAGTTGGAGAAGGAGATGATGAGGAGAAAGATGAAAGCTTGGAAGGAAAAGGAAATGTCGGAGAAAGGTACTGTGGAAGTTTTGCACAAGGAGGGTTTGGAAAAGCCATTGGTTTCGTTTGAGAAGCCTAAGTTTGATCGGAAAGAACTTATGAGTAGTATTTCTAAAGTTAAGGGTTCAGAGAAGAAACTGGAACTCTTGAATGCTTCTCATGTTGAGAGTGGTGATTCCTTGGACTTTGATGATAAGATCCATGAAATCAAAGCAATGGCTAGACGAGCACGGGAGATAGAAGCTGGTATAGAACTTAATGAAAAGGAGAACCGCGAGGTGAACAAAGAAACGAGCGACAATGATGAAGATATAAGCATGCGGTCACAGAGCAGTCTTCCACATGAGGGTTTGACACCCAGTGAAGGTGATGATGATAAAAAGGAAACCTTGGGGATTTCGATTGAAATTAATCAAGAAAACACTGAAATGTTTGATTTGGCTATTCCAATGGTGAATGGAGCTATGGTAGATTCTGGTTCTCCTATTCATGAAATGGCAGCATCTGACAAAGAAAAGGTGAGTGATGTGGTACCACTAGTTCCTACAGATGGAGTCATCCAATCTTCTGATGTCTCTAAGGATCAGTTAAGTATTATGAATAATAGCCCTGGTCGTAAGTCACGAGTCATACGGTCTGTAAAAGAGGCTAAAGAGTTCCTTTCAAGAAGAAGTGGTGAGAAAGAGACTACTCAGGAACCTTCTCAGATGATAGCCCAAGACAGTGATGAAATCTTCCCAAAGCAGAGTGACGAAGAGCGTGGTGTTGCTAGAAAACACGAATTGGTTGACAAAAATAAAATCCTTGGTGCAGCTGTCAATGGAACCTTGAAATCTGCACTTGAGTCTACTTCTTCTGAACCGTTGGGGAAGGATGTTGATTCTCAACCCCAAAAGAATGATTACCAAAAACTCTCAGAACCTGGGAATGCAGTTAAGGGATCGAGCAAGCAAAGAGATTCTTCAAATAAAATAGAAGAGCGCAAAACAAGTTTTTTCAGATCAGCCAAAAGTTCTTCTGGTGTTACTGAACAAATAGAGAAGGCAGAACCATCGGGGAAGGAGAATTGGATAGAGAAAAACTACCATGAATTTGAGCCTGTTGTTGAAAAAATGAGAGCAGGATTTAGGGATAATTATATGGCTGCTAGAGAGGGTGAAACTCGGGAGCCAGGTACAATTGCTGAAATTGCAGAACTTTACCGCAGTGAGTATAATGATGAGCTTGAGTGGATGAAGGACGAAAAGCTAAGAGACATTGTCTTCCGTGTTCGAGATAATGAGCTGGCTGGTAGGGATCCATTTCACCTGATTGATGCTGAAGATAAATCTATGTTTTTGCAAGGCTTGGAGAAGAAAGTTGACAAAGAAAATGAGAAACTGTCTCATCTGCATCAGTGGATTCATTCAAACGTTGAAAACCTAGACTACGGAGTAGGTAATCTTCTCTACAACTTTGATTGAGACTAAGTTTTCTCAATATCTCACATTCACAGTTTATACGTTAATCAGCTTGCCAAAATATATCTCAGTTATCTGCCTTCCTCTTATTATTCAGATGGCATCAGTGTGTATGATCCACCAGAAAAAATCATACCGAGATGGAGAGGGTCTTCGCTTGATAAGAACCCCGAGTTTCTCAATAACTATCAAGAACAGCGCGAAGCGTTGTTTTCTGGAAAAGCTGCATCTGCATCTCCTGTGAAATATGAAGAACAGATCTCTCATCAGGAATTATCAGAGTCTGCTTCCTCTGAGAACACTCTCACCCCTTCATCTGAAATGACCTCAAGCCAGCCAAAGATTGTTGTAGAAGGAAGTGATGGATCTATTAGACCTGGTAAAAAATCAGGAAAGGAGTATTGGCAGCACACGAAGAAATGGTCACGCGGGTTCCTCGAGTTGTACAATGCAGAGACTGATCCAGAAGTGAAAGCTGTTATGAGAGACATGGGAAAAGACTTGGACCGATGGATTACAGAAGACGAAATCAAAGACGCAGCTGATATAATGGAAAAGCTGCCAGAGAGGAACAAGAAGTTCATGGAAAAGAAACTGAACAAACTCAAGAGAGAGATGGAGTTGTTTGGTCCTCAAGCTGTTGTGACCAAATACCGCGAGTATGGAGAAGATAAGGAAGAAGATTATCTATGGTGGTTGGACCTTCCGCATGTACTGGTATGTTTTCTTGCTAAACAGTTGACTGACACTGGAGAAACTCAGAAGTCCTTGAAAATCTAATCTGTGTTTTCGTGTTTTAGTGCCTTGAGTTGTACACAGTTGATGAAAACGGAGAGCAGCAAGTAGGGTTCTACACATTGGAGATGGCAACAGATCTCGAGTTAGAACCCAAACCACATCATGTGATCGCTTTCGAGAACGCTGCGGACTGTCGAGACCTCTGTTACATTATTCAAGCTCATTTGGATATGCTACGAAGTGGAAACGTTTTCATTGTTCCGCGTCCGCCAAAGGTAATGAATTTAGCCAAGGAAGAAACTTTAATTAGACCTATTTCTGTTATCAACTCAAAGTTGTTCTCTTTAACCTATACAGGATGCATATCGAGAAGCCAAGGCGAATGGGTTTGGTGTAACGGTTATTAGGAAAGGAGAACTGAAGTTGAATATTGACGAACCATTAGAAGAAGTAGAGGAAGAGATATGTGAGATAGGAAGCAAGATGTACCATGATAAGATCATGGGAGATCGATCTGTGGATATAAGCTCGTTGATGAAAGGTGTCTTTAACCTGAAGACCAAACCTACTGGCCGAAGAAGAAAACGATCAAAGCAGGCTCTTAAAGATTCTAACAAGAAAAATAGCTGAGGCACCAAGCCAAAAGGCCTAGCAACAAAGATTGGAGGCAAACTAAAAAATGAAAGCATGTCATTAATAGCTTCTATTTTCGTGTAGTAGGAACAATGCAAAAACTTGATATGCTAGGCACAATGGCACATGTTGTGTGTTTAAAGTAACCTTGCCTTTTTGATTGATCATAGGTTTGAGAGAGTAAGGGATCCTATATTATTCATGGATCACCAAAGCGTATTAGTCAGTTCTTCTTAAACGCTCTAAGAGACCCACACAAATTTGTTCTCGATTATCTGTTCTAAGATGGAATCGATAGTCTGTCTGATATGCTTAATCTGTTTTGCAGTTTGAGAATTGCAGTTAGTTATCTGGAAGCTTAAATAGATTGATAATGCAACATGTCTTCACTGAACATCTCATTGCATTTTCAGGGAATACAAAAACTCTAAAACAAAACCCACAAGGAAGAAGAAACAAGAGTTTTCTCTATTGCTGAACAAAACATATGATACTACAACAAGAATCTTAGCCAAAATCGATGCTAAGCGATACTTAAAACACTCAGGTTTTTGGGCTACCCAAATCAAAAACCAACCACAACACTTTGAATAAAAGAGTTCTTAGGCTGAGACGAGATAGCCTTGGCAACAAAAGCAAGCAATCACAATACCAACCAATGCTCCAGCAAGAACCTGCGAAGGAGTGTGACCGAGCAATTCCTTTAGCTTTCTTTGACTGATGGGATGTCCTTCGAACAAGTCCCTTATGATCAAGTTCAGAACCTGACATCAACAAACACAAAACAATGTTAATCTTATCTCACAAAGAACAAACAAGACTTACTCTGTATAAACCCTCTTTCAAGACTCTTAATTCTCTGCAGTCTTATCAAGATCATTCTACAACCAACAATAGCTATCATCAACATGTGCCTAACGTCCATAATTTCGAGAAACTTGTATTATGCTCAACAATGCAAAACCATCTAAAAGATTCAAGAACCAAGAACAGACATCAACATCTAACTGACCATGTCCATAACTCCAAATCTAGTGATGTACTTCAATTGTGCACACAGAAACCAACTTTTACATAGAGGCATTCGCAAAAATTCAACAATAATAGTGAAAGTCGAATCCATCACCTGATTCTAATAATACATTAAACTATACACACACACTCATCAACAGGGAAATCTAGTCAAACTTGTAGAATAGACAAAGCATTTAATAAGACCAAAGTCAAACGCAGTAAAAATCTCCAAAACTCAAAACTTGAAGCTTTAATTTTACCTCAGCTTGCATACCGGCATGGCGTCTAACACCAATTGCATCATACATCACAATCAAGCTAAACCCTAAACAAACAGGAAATAAGGAATCTGCAACTCCATGACAAAGCGCCACAGAGGTCGTCAAAGCCATACATAGAGCCGAGTGAGAAGAAGGCATTCCACCAGAAGCATAAAGAAGACGAAAATCCCATTTCCTCTCAATGAAGAAATTGATAACCATTTTACTCGATTGCGCAAAGAACCACGCGACTACAGCTGAAACGAAAGTTGGATTCGCAGAGAGCGTCGCAACGAAAGGGCTAATCTTTATCTTAGCGGAAGCAGTAACGCTCAAAAGGGCAATCCCTAATCCACCATTATGCTTCAAATCTCCGGCGAAATCCTCAGAAAACGCCGCCGTGTCGTCTCTGTAAGCTCGAAAACGTGACATCCATTGCCTGGATTGAGAAGAAACCAAACCCTTTATTGTTCGAATGATTGGGCGCAATACACAAAAAGGGTTTAACTTGATACGACGATTGCAATCTGGTTTAGGATTCGAAGACGATGATTTACAGCAGAATAACGATAAGGTGTTGTTGGAAGCTTCCAACTTTTGGATAGAAGTTAGCTTTACGAAGGAGAGACGAGAAGGGTAATGAGAAATGGTTTTTGAGAAACAAGCGAAGGAAGGATTTGATGTAAGAGACTCCATGAGAGAATTAAGTTGCTGCTACTCTGCGACATACAGAGAGATTAGAATACAAGTGTGTGGGAGACTTGGCGAAGAAAGATTGGAGATTTTCTTCAACCCAACTGGGCCTAATCAACAAAAACAATTTAGTTTAGCTAATTAAAATACTTTTTTGGTAAATTAACATAGAAATCGTGTGGTTGTAGAGAAAAGAAGAGACATTGTTTTCGTAAATTATAACGGAAATACCATTCGAGTATCGTGACTCGGAACATAAAAGAATATACCAAAAATGTGTCCAAAAGATGATTAATCATTAAGAATATTTGGGCTCAACATGTTCTATATTGGGCCTTGGGCTTGCTACAATGTTTGACTTTTCAACAGGGGTATTTTGGGTATTATGAATCTTTGGTTTATATATTTCTGAGAAAAATTCAACGGTCGCCTGAATGATAGCAATTCTCGCGGTTATAACGTTTGCGATCTCTTCTCCTCCTCATACGGACTCGTCGGAGATCAAATCTCGCCGGAATATTGATTCCGCCGTTGAGTAATCGGAGCTGATTAGGTTTGATTTCGTTATGGAGAGTTTGATTGCGCTTGTGAACAAGATTCAGAGAGCCTGTACGGCTCTGGGAGATCACGGCGAGGGAAGCTCCCTCCCAACTCTCTGGGACTCATTGCCTGCAATTGCCGTCGTCGGTGGTCAGGTTTGGTCTCTTTCTCCTGATTTTTGGCATGGAATTTTGAATCGGCGATCTTTGGATCTTAGGCATTGCCTTCTCGGTTCCATTTGGGGTTTTGTTGCGAAGAATAATCTGATCTCATTTTCTCACGAATCATCTGATATCTTCCCCTTGAATCATTGATTTGATCTAAACTAATGATGATGTTACTGTGTTCTATGAGACCAATGAAAAGTTGTGAGATCCTTTGTTCTTAATCAAAAACTGTTGCGTACTCATGTACATTTCTATTCTCTTGGGGATCAATCCGATTGATTTGATGAAATTGTAGAGTTCTGGAAAGTCTTCAGTGCTAGAGAGCGTTGTTGGAAAAGATTTTCTACCTCGTGGAGCTGGTAAGCTTTCTTGATAAAGACGTACATCATATAACTGAAGATTCATCTCCTGATATATGACTTACTTATGAACAACAATGTCTTCCATGTAGGGATTGTTACACGTAGACCTCTTGTCCTGCAGCTTCATAGAATTGATGAAGGGAAAGAGTATGCAGAGTTTATGCATCTTCCAAAGAAGAAGTTCACCGATTTTGGTATATTTCTTGTTTGGGAGGAGTTAATGCTCCTTATTTTTTCTGTGACTGATTGCATTATCTGTAGTGTTGTTTAGGTGCTCACATTCTTCTCATCTGGTTTTCTTATGTTTGAGATATTTATTCCTTCTTTCTTGCTATGTAGCTGCTGTGAGGCAGGAGATCTCGGATGAGACAGATCGTGAAACTGGTCGCAGCAGCAAAGTAATATCTACAGTTCCAATTCATCTCAGTATCTTCTCTCCTAATGGTAAGAGAAGCTATTGTACTTCCTACATTTGCATCAGGAAGATAACCAAGCATGCTTTAGGAGTCCTTAGGTCTTGTACACAGGGTTTTAACATTCGATCAAATCTTAAGTTTATGTTTTCTACCATCTTTCCCATTTGTCTTCCAGCCTTCATATAACAATTTTATTTACTTAAAATGTTTGTAGTTGTGAATTTGACACTTGTCGATCTTCCTGGGCTGACAAAGGTAGCTGTTGGTAAGTGAGACAGTCTTTGCTTTCCATGATATCCCACACCCCAAGTCCTCTTTATTGACAAACATGAATGAAAAATGGTGCCAATTATGTTGTAGATGGCCAGCCTGAAAGTATTGTTCAAGACATCGAGAACATGGTCAGATCGTTTATTGAGAAGGTAAGTATGATTTGAAAGAAATTAGTATGTAGCAGAATTTAATTGTAGAAGGATGATGCTACTATTCTCTAAAGATCGTGTGTTCAAGTAAAGTAACAAAGATTGATCATTAACCTTTTGACAGCCCAACTGCATCATACTAGCTATTTCCCCTGCAAATCAGGATCTTGCTACATCTGATGCCATTAAGATCTCTCGTGAAGTTGATCCAAAAGGTGCCAGATTCTTCCTTCTTTATATTTTATACAACTTCTTTCTGAATTCACTTTGAGCTTCTTTTTTGGTAGATATAAGCGACTGAGACATGGAATATGGTTTAAGTTCTATGGAGCATTGTATATATGATTGACTAGCATCGTCAATGCCTAGTGGTTCTGTTAGCTGATCATAATCTTATTATATATAATAAACGATGATCCTTGCAACTAATATACCTTGATAGTATTTTGAATTGATTGATTCTTGTTGTTTAATGTTTGCTTCGTTGCACTTGATGCGATCAGGAGACAGGACTTTTGGAGTTTTAACTAAAATTGATCTCATGGACCAAGGCACTAATGCTGTTGATGTAAGTTTACATTCAGACGATAGTAATATATATCATGAGTTAAGACTATCGTCTGAACTGCAAACAATCTATCTCCAACTGCATTATGAAAAGGACACAATGAAGATAAATATGAGAATCTCACTAAATACTGGTGAGTGAATATTCAACAGTTCCTAAGTGTTCTAAATGTTTGGACATTTCAGATACTTGAAGGAAGGGGATACAAATTAAGGTATCCCTGGGTTGGTGTTGTAAACCGGTCTCAAGCTGACATTAATAAAAGTGTTGATATGATTGCTGCTCGTCGACGTGAACGTGATTACTTCCAGACTAGCCCAGAATACAGACATTTAACTGACAGAATGGGTTCAGAGTATTTAGGAAAGATGCTCTCTAAGGTAAATAATTGAGGAGTTTGGTATATATGAAGCTTTTAACATAAAAGATTTGGTAGTTGCTCTAAAACCAGCTATAACCTTTTCAGCATTTAGAAGTTGTTATCAAGTCGAGAATCCCGGGACTTCAGTCTCTTATCACAAAGACTATTTCCGAATTAGAGACAGAGCTAAGCCGTCTTGGGAAGCCTGTAGCAGCTGATGCTGGTGTAAGGATCTTTTTCGCCTTTCATTCTTCGGTTTCTTCTCTTATTTCAAATCCCTCCTTCGTTAATACTCATTCTCCTGAATGCAGGGAAAACTTTATATGATCATGGAAATTTGCCGTGCCTTTGATCAAACTTTTAAAGAACACCTTGATGGCACGTAAGTCATCTGCATGTTTCTGGATTGGTGCTAATGCAATTTTCTGGCTTTATGATTACCACTAACAACCTCACAGGCGTTCAGGTGGTGAAAAGATAAATTCTGTGTTCGACAATCAATTCCCAGCTGCCATTAAAAGACTGCAATTCGACAAACATCTCTCCATGGACAATGTACGGAAACTGATCACTGAAGCAGATGGATATCAACCTCATCTCATAGCTCCTGAACAAGGTTATCGCCGCCTCATAGAATCATGCTTAGTCTCCATTAGAGGCCCTGCTGAAGCAGCTGTTGATGCGGTTCATTCCATTCTCAAGGATCTTATCCACAAATCCATCGGCGAAACATCAGTAAGAATATCTCTGCTCAAAGTCATAAACCCAACAACATACACTTATGAGTTTTGAAGCATGATTATGTGTTTTCATCATCACTACAGGAACTGAAGCAATATCCAACACTGAGAGTAGAAGTATCAGGTGCAGCCGTGGATTCATTGGATCGAATGAGAGAAGAGAGCAGGAAAGCAACTCTGTTACTAGTGGACATGGAGTCTGGTTACTTAACGGTCGAGTTCTTCAGGAAACTCCCGCAAGATTCTGAAAAAGGTGGGAATCCGACACATTCGATATTCGACAGATACAACGATGCATATCTCCGAAGAATCGGTTCGAATGTGTTGTCTTATGTGAACATGGTCTGCGCTGGCTTGAGAAACTCCATACCGAAATCCATTGTTTACTGTCAAGTCCGTGAAGCAAAACGAAGCCTTCTAGACTTCTTCTTCACCGAGCTTGGCCAGAAAGAGGTAACAATAATAACCATATACTAAATTACCAATATGAGCAAATTGACAATTGTATAAGATATGATGAGTAAGAATGTTTTAAAATGGTTTTGTGTTAAAAATATAGATGAGCAAATTGTCGAAATTGTTGGATGAGGATCCTGCGGTTCAGCAGCGAAGGACTTCGATTGCGAAGAGGCTGGAATTGTATAGAAGTGCTCAGACGGATATTGAAGCAGTTGCTTGGTCCAAGTAGAGAGACGAGACCTCTTCACACTCCATTTTTTGTTTCTTTAGGATACGTTTCCTTCTTCATTTTTTTTGGTCTCTTTTTTCTTTTTTCCATTTGTCTTTGTATTCGGTGTTCGAATTAACATTGTTTCTGAATAAGTTTTTGTAAGACGATAGTTGGTCAAATTATTTGAAAAAAAAAAGTGAATTCACGGACAGAAACGTACGACGTGATCCTATCTGTTTAAACCACCGGAAAGAGAGAAAAAGAGGAGCAACAGAAGAACTGAAGTAGTATTACAGAGGCGAGCAAATAATTAAAAAAAAAAACACAAGTGGAGATGCGGGGAATCGAACCCCGTGCCTCTCGCATGCGAAGCGAGCGCTCTACCATATGAGCTACATCCCCATTTTGATTCTTCTTCCACTTTAATTCAATATATCTAGTCAAAATCTGTAATATTAGACTTCGCTAGTTTGAATTTTGATTACATAAAACGCGGTGACTGATACGGTGATATCCATGCCGCCATGCATAATACAGTTTAAATTATTGTTACATTACCATTTTGCAACCAAAAACTTTTGCTTAATGTAAACCAAAAACGTAAACCGAAGTTTGTCTTTTTTTGTTGTGTTTGTTTTTAGAATGAACACATGAAAGTTTTCGTTTGTGTGATTGGTACTCATTGAAGCTGTAAAGGTTCGTACCACAATAATGAAAGTTTTAAAAACTAAACAAAAGAACTTGGTGTTTACTTTGTTTCTAAGATCTGTTCCAATATCTCCTCCCCGAAAAGAAAAGAAAAGCTGATGTTGATCGTGGCACCATCCTGACCAAATATACCTAATGAGTAATGATTCAGACTAAGACTGATCCACTTCCCACTCTGGTCCAGTTTACGACCCCACTCTCTCTCTCCCATCTCTGTCTTCTTCTTTTTTTCCCCTTAAATAAGCAAAGTAAAAAAACTCCAGATTCTCCATATCTTAGAAATAATTTCATAATTTCTCAACCTCAAATAGCAATTGACAATTGTTTTAACTGTCAAAAAAAAAGAAGCAATAATTTCATGGCATCTTCTTGGTATTTTTCTGTCGGTTCACGTGTCGATTTAGTGACAGAGGGGACATAAATTGTCCGATACTTAACCAGTGAAACATCAACTCCAAGTATCTTTCTCAAAATCCAACCGGAGCTGATTTTAAACAATTTGATGATTATGATTGATCGCCATCTTCAACCACTTTCACCACCAAACTCAATCACTCTTCTTCTTCTTCAAGTAAACATCACCCAAAAAGCCTCCATTGTTCCTCGCTCCTTCTCGTCTCTGTTTCGATTCCAACTATGAGAACCTTTGTCGGATTTTACATCCTCTGTCTCTTAATCGGACAAGATCTGCCTTTTCTAGCTGCAGATGACGCCAATGTCATAAACGATTCGACCCAGAATCTCTGTTTTGCAAACCGATTATCCGATTTCCTCCCTCCACCGTACAGCAATGTCTCCGATAACATGCCCTGTACTCCTCTTTGGAACACATTCGTCTTACGGGTAAACCAACATAATAAAGAAATAAACCAACTTTTCCTAAAACCCATAATTTTGATTTTCAATTTCTCTGCTTTTCAATAAACCTTTAATTTTTTGGGTTTCTCTGTTTTGCAGTACTCAGAAAACAGAGACAATGTGATGACGATTATAGTATCGGCTTTATACACAACCGGGTGGGTTGGGATCGGATTCTCGAAAGAAGGAAGAATGGTTGGATCAAGCGCGATGGTCGGGTGGATTTCGAAAAAGGGTCACGCCAAAATCAAACAATACTATCTCCAAGGAACGGAGAGAGACCAAGTTGTGCCTGATCAAGGAGAACTGCAACTACAAAAAGTCCCTCCGGTGGTGGCTCTTCACGGAGCAATGATTTACTTAGCTTTTCAGGTGAAATTCTCCGTTAGAGTTCCTCGGAGAGCCGTCATTCTAGCCTTTAGCACCGCTTATCCTTCCAAGCTTGGCCGTTTGACTAAGCATGATGATAAAACTACAGTCATCGTCGATTTTTCCAAAGGTAATGTATAACAATTTAAGTCCATATACATGTTAAAAACAGGGGAGAGTTCAATACTTGTGTGTTGTTGGTCAATGCAGCAAGTGGAGCAACCTCCATAAAGACGACAACTTCTACGGAGAAGACAAAACATGGAGTAATGGCGATACTCGGATGGGGTTTCTTACTTCCCGTAGGGGCAATCCTCGCGAGATATCTTAGACATAAAGACCCTCTTTGGTACTATCTTCATATCGGTTTTCAGTTCACGGGATTTATCTTCGGTTTAGCCGCTGTTATCCTCGGGATTCAGCTTTACAATAGGATCCAGCCGGATATACCGACGCATCGAGGCATAGGGATCTTTATTTTAGTTCTTAGCATTCTTCAGGTTTGAGAATCAAGACTTGCAAGTCTGTCGAGTTTAAGAATCAAAATAAGTTTTGGTTTCAACATAATATATGGAATTTTGTTTTTCAGGTTTTGGCTTTCTTTGCACGACCACAGAAGGAGACAAAGATGAGGAGATATTGGAATTGGTATCATCATTGGATTGGGAGAATCTCTCTCTTCTTTGGAGCAGTGAACATTGTTCTTGGAATTCGAATGGCCGATAATGGAGGAGATGGATGGAAAATTGGATATGGATTTATTTTGTCAGTGACATTACTTGCTTTTGTTGTTCTTGAAATATTCAGGATTCGTGGCGCTATTGGTTCGCCATCTTCTCACACCCCTCCCTCGTTTGAGGCACATCCAAATTCTACTAGTGTCTGATTCAAGATCTTCTGTTTTTGTCATTCGTTTGTTTCTTGTACATAAAGGCACTGTTTTTTTTCTGGCTAAAGCCATTATGGTCATTGAATTTTACAGTCGATTAAGTGTTGGTTTTCTAGTGGAAATCGGTCTTGGTTTAGAGAGCAACATGGTGAAATCTTTTTTTTTTTCTTTTTTTTAAAGGTTTGTTTATTTTTGGATCTCAAATTGTTGTCATTTGAAGATGTAAGTTGAGTTTTGTAGGTTGTTGTTCCTGAAAAGTGAAAACATATATACGTAATTCTTTAATTCCTTATGAGTTACGATAAATGAGAGTTTGTAAAAGTGCATAGACGTTCCTAACAAACTGGTAAAATTTTGCGTTACATTTTCATCTTAACTGGTAAAATTTTGGATAATTTTTTTTTACCTTTCAAATTATACCTCTAGCTAGAAACGCAACCATTTGCAGCACCCTATAAATTATTAACATATGAATACAAAGACTACATGAATTTTAAAATTTCAACTTGCAGATTTGTAGAGATTAGAAACTTTGATCATTAGATAAACAAAGCTCACATGCTATAAACCCAATTAATAAAAGAAACAACTTAGGCCCAATATGTAGCCCAACAAGCTTTGATTTTTCTCATAATTTGTGAGAAAAATAAAAGAAAAGAGAGAGTTATTTAATTGATGCGCCACGTCGGATTTGAGCAAAAGGAAGTTTTCGACTTGGCGCTCTTGTACGCCTGAAAATTCGCAGTCTTCCCTCGTCCCCAATCCCTGGAGCCAAACACTGTTCCATTCAACCGCCACGTCAGCATAACTCGATTTTTAATTTTCGTTTTTATTATTATTCAAGCGAATTAATTTCAGAATTAACCATAAAATAATAGTGGAAAATATATAAACCGACGACGGTCTGTGTCTCCTTCACCAGAACACAAGATCCTTCTCCTCCTCTTTTGTTTTCCTTGGCCGTCGATTTTAAGGTTTTATCCTCTCCGTAGTGAAACCACTGATAATTTTCTCCAGGGAATTTACGAGGAGGATTTGTTTTGTTTCTCCGGCGTTCAAGAGTTTTACGATTTCTCCGTCGTTTGATTTCTTAATTCAATCCTCTGAGGGAAACGAGAATTTGGTTTTCGTTTTCGAATTTAGGGTTAAAGAAGCGGTTTCGCATTGGGTTCGTTGAGTATTGAGCCAATTTGCGAGAGGAATTCAAACGTTACGAGTTTTTTTCTTTTCTTTTCCCGGAGGTCCGAAGTGCGAATCTGTTTTGTTTGATGAAATTAGGGTTTTGGAATCGGAATTTGGATGGTCGTTTATGTTGATTAGTCGACGATTGCTGAGTTAGGACATGATTTTGAAACGGACCTTGACATTCGAGAATCAGAATCTGAAGCGGTGCAAAATTGATTCAGAAATTGATTATGGGAGCAAAAAGGGTGAGATTATGGTGTATAAGAAGAGACAAAGAGCAACCGTGGATCAACCATGTAGTAGAGAACCCGAACTTCTTACAAGTAGCTCAAGCTCCTTGACCAGCAAAGAATCTCAACCGTGCTCCGACCAGTCCAAGTCTTCGCGTGGCAGAGTTCGAGCGGTTCCTTCAAGGTTCAAGGACTCCATTGTTGGTTCATGGAAATCTAGCCGTCGCAAGGAAGAGTCGACTGAGTCTAGTCATGATGACGACGTAACTCTGGGGAAGAAGGTCAAAGGTTTCAGTGGAAGCTCGAAATTGAATCGCAGCAAAGACTCGAAGCTGTTTTCACGTAAGGATAACGGAGACAGCAGCGAAGTAGATTGCAATTACTGGGATGTTAAAATTTCCATGTTGTCTTCCTCCGACGATGCTAACTTTGGTATACCGAAAAAGTCCTACGCCTCGCGTAAGAGCGTGTATAAACCAGAGGAATTTACGGTCGGCGATCTTGTCTGGGCCAAGTGTGGGAAAAGATTCCCAGCATGGCCGGCTGTGGTGATCGATCCGATATCGCAAGCGCCTGATGGGGTCTTGAAACATTGCGTCCCAGGCGCAATATGTGTCATGTTTTTTGGGTACTCCAAGGATGGAACTCAGAGGGTAATATACTAATCTCTGTGACTCTGTCTGTCTTCAAGCTTGCGTTTGATGCATTTATTTGTACTATCTTCTTCTGAAACTTCTGCTCATTAACAGGACTATGCATGGGTCAGACAAGGAATGATGTATCCATTTACGGAATTTATGGATAAGTAAGTACATGAGACGCTCTTTCTGGAATCTTTCATATTTGTTTGTTTGTTTCTGTTCCTTAGTAGTCTTTCATCTCTTCAGATTTCAGGATCAGACAAACTTGTACAATTACAAGCCAAGTGAATTTAAGAAGGCACTAGAGGAAGCAGTTTTAGCAGAAAATGGGGTCGAGGGTGATTTTGGAGATGTTGAAATTAGCTGCCCAGATTCCTCTGCGACGGAATCCGACCAGGAGTATGGAGCTGCTTCTAGAATTCAGGCACGTTTTCGTGACACATATTCCTTTTCTTTTTTTTGGGTTAGATGTTCAAGCTTGCTCTTGTAATTGATTTGGGAGGACAAAGTAAATCAATTCAGGACAGAATCTTACTTTAACTCTCACCAGTCAGTTCTATAAGCATCCTGTATAATTCATAATCAGTTCTATAAGCATCCTGTATAATTCATAATCATCTTTCTGTTCTAAGTCATAATCGGCTGGTGATATACTTTCTGGTCTAAGTCATGAAGGCATTATACATATTACATACTACATAGGCGTGGACATACTGTTTGTATCTGACTCTTTTACAGTTATTGGGAATACATCCCCTAAAATGATATGCTGATTTAATTATTTTGTAGGGTTTATGTCATGAGGACGTAAGGACCTGCGACGGTTGTGGCTCAGTAATGCCATTAAAATCTCTAAAAAGGACTAAAGGCTCACAACCGGAAGAGCTTTTATGCAAACACTGTTCAAAGGTTCTTAGCAAAATTTCCTTACTATTCAGTTTTCTTTGGTCAAAAGGAATTGAATCTTAATTTTTGTTTCAGTTGCGGAAATCCAATCAGTATTGTGGCATCTGCAAGAGAATATGGCACCCTTCAGATGATGGAGATTGGGTGAGAATCTCTTTGACCATGTTTGGTGAAATACTGACCTGAGTAATAAACTATTACATCTATGTAGCTGACTTGATTTGATGTATTAGGTATGTTGTGATGGGTGTAACGTATGGGTACATGCTGGATGCGACAACATTACGAATGAGCGCTTTAAGGTGCAGTTATACATCTCCGTGCATCTTAACTTTTGATTTTAAGTATTGAAGACTATTGTCGAATGGCTGTTCTAATTTGGTTATCATCTTAAGGAACTGGAGCACAACAATTACTATTGCCCTGATTGTAAAGTCCAACATGAGCTTTCACCAACAATATTAGAAGAACAGAAATCAGTGTTCAAGTATGTTGTTAACATCTCATGTTCTCTCACTTTAGTCTTCTGGAAAACAATATGTTCTCCTGCTTTTATTATTTGCATTGTTCTATTGCTAATTCTTTAATTTGCAAAATTTCCTCTTCACAACCTCGTTGGGACAGGTCTACAGAAAAGACGACAGAGACTGAGCTGCCTGATGCGGTTACTGTAGTCTGTAATGGCATGGAAGGGACATATATCAGAAAATTTCATGCGTAAGTATTAGATGGATCAGCTTTATTTCAATTTCCTCATTTGAGCAGGATTTTGTTTGCTCATGACTACACAATGCAATGCCGTAATATGATTTTTTCTCTGAAAACGACAATTCTGCGCTTGATCCTAGACTTCTGTTACCATTCTCTTGTTGTTCCAGAGATTAGAACAACACATTTATCTTGGAACTATTGGTTTCAGAATTGAGTGCAAGTGTGGTTCATGTGGGTCAAGGAAGCAGTCACCAAGTGAATGGGAACGGCATACAGGCTGCAGAGCCAAAAAGTGGAAGTATAGTGTAAGAGTGAAAGACACAATGCTACCTCTAGAAAAATGGGTACATTCCTTATGCTTAACTCTCTCATAAACTTGCCCTTATATATACCCCTGAAATTTACATGCATGATTCTATAAGAAATTTACTACTGACAACAAGATATTACAGATTGCAGAATTTAGTACCTATACTCTAGAAACCCAGATGTTGGATAAGCAAAAGATGCTCTCTATGCTGGAAGGTATATTATAGCTCAACTCTTGGCGTCCTTCTTTTGGAGTTTAAATTTGCTAGGAAACTTGCTTACTACTTATTTTATATGCGCAGAAAAGTATGAGCCAGTCAGGGCTAAGTGGACGACTGAAAGGTGTGCTGTATGCAGATGGGTAGAAGACTGGGAAGAAAATAAAATGATCATCTGTAACAGGTTACTTTATGGCATTTTTTGGTTATACTGAATTCTACAGCGATCTTATAACCAAACATGAGACATAAATATGTAAATCTGACCAAATCTGTCTTCAGATGTCAAGTGGCTGTGCACCAAGAATGCTATGGGGTAAGCAAATCTCAGGACCTCACTTCCTGGGTGTGCAGAGTATGTGAAACACCAGACATTGAAAGAGAGTGTTGTCTTTGTCCCGTAAAAGGTACTACTGCAGAATTAGCTCTCTTTATGATTTTATTCCGATCTTGCATTAGTAATGGTTTATTCTTGACTGTCCTGTCACAAGATTACATTAGGTACAGTCATTCTGAGAATTCTCTTTTGGGTAGAGGTGCTATAAATTGAACTCATTTTCCCTATTTCTATTTCTTTCCTGAACTCTTCCATTTGTGCAGGCGGTGCTTTAAAACCAAGCGACGTCGAGGGTTTGTGGGTTCATGTAACATGTGCTTGGTTCAGACCGGAAGTTGGGTTTTTGAATCATGAAAATATGGAGCCTGCTGTTGGACTTTTCAAAATTCCAGTAAATTCATTTCTTAAGGTATAATGAAATGCTAGAAGTAGAAATTGTAACCAATATGTTTTATTAGAATTGTATAATATACGTCTGATATTTTCTGAAAACACCTTTTAGGTTTGCACAATTTGTAAGCAGACACATGGTTCCTGCGTGCATTGCTGCAAGTGTGCCACTCACTTTCACGCAATGTGTGCATCACGGGCAGGTTACAACATGGAGGTTAGTCCTTAAACTACTTAGCCTCTGTGTGAATATGATAATTTTCATTCTTCACGTTAAAACCGTTGCAAAGGTGTTCTGTTAGTTAATCATCTTAGGAATGTGTAACTGATGCTGTTTTCTATGGAATTTAGTTGCACTGCCTGGAGAAAAATGGTGTGCAGAGAACCAGGAAGTCAGTTTACTGTTCATTTCACAGGTTTGTTTTTCCGACATATTCTTTAATTGACCTGTTATGTGATATTGGGACATACTGATCGCCTGTATCATTTTACCCACTATGTAGGAAGCCAGATCCAGATAGTGTTGTAGTTGTGCACACACCCTCAGGCGTATTTGGCTCTAGAAATTTGCTTCAGAATCAATATGGGCGCACCAAAGGTTCAAGACTCGTTTCCAAGAAGATGAAGCTTCCAGGTTTTGAAACCCAAACCCAAGCCGAACAGAGTCGTGTATTTGATTCTCTTTCTGCAGCAAGATGCCGTATCTATAGTAGATCAAACACAAAGGTATGCTTCTGGGGATCTTGTTTATTCTTGGACGTTGGAGAGTCTTTCATTATTAACTATTCCCTAGCAAAGCTCCTACTTCATATCTGTTACTGCTGATGTTTCAGAAGATTGATCTGGAGGCTATATCCCACAGGCTTAAGGGACCAAGCCATCATTCTTTGGGTGAAATCGAGAATCTAAACTCTTTTAAGGCAAGTTTCTCATTCAGAGCTCCATTCATGTCAGTGTTTTGCTTTCTTGGGGCAATTTTTTCTGAATATCTCAGCAAGATCTTAATTTTCTTTTACCTTGTTACACCAGGAAGCAGATTTTACCTCATTCAGAGAACGGCTAAAACATTTGCAGGTAAACATTGATTCAATGAGTTAATATTTTCTCCATCTTGTTATCCTAAAATATCTATAAACAATATTATCTTCTTCAGAGGACGGAAAATTTTCGAGTCTGCTTTGGTAAATCTGGCATACATGGATGGGGTTTGTTTGCAAGGAATAGTATTCAAGAAGGAGAAATGGTATCTAGTTAATGTTGTATTATTCATGATTTCGATATGGCTAAATTGAAATTCTTGAGGCAAACTAACTACTGATTATCAAAATTCTTGTTCAGATCATCGAGTATCGTGGGGTGAAAGTTAGGAGAAGTGTTGCAGATCTGAGAGAGGCAAACTATCGATCTCAAGGCAAAGATTGTTACGTAAGTTCCGATTGCTTGCTTACATTAACCATTATCCGCTACATCTAATGGTTAACTTATTGACTAACGACGCAGCTATTCAAGATAAGCGAAGAGATAGTAATTGATGCCACAGACTCTGGAAACATAGCACGATTGATCAATCATTCAGTAAGTTCCCTAAATTGACACACAAGACCAAAACCTGGTAACTTACTAACGATGTTTATGTCTTGTGCAGTGTATGCCCAATTGCTATGCTCGTATAGTGAGTATGGGTGATGGAGAAGACAACAGAATCGTCCTCATTGCAAAAACCAATGTCTCAGCTGGGGAAGAGCTTACGTAAAACATTTCTCTTCTCATAGAATTTAGATTATATCCATATGCATTAACCTTAATCATGAAAACTCAATTTTCTACAGGTATGATTATCTCTTTGAGGTTGATGAATCTGAAGAAATCAAAGTGCCCTGCCTTTGTAAAGCTCCAAACTGCCGCAAATTCATGAACTAGAGCTCTCTCAAGTCTAAACCATTCTTGCAAACGTTCAATCTTGCTTTGGTAATTTGAACAGTAACTGCGGTGGGAAGTTAACCGATTTTTTTCCTCGGCGGCTAGTTCACGGGGGAAATCCCGTGGCATAATGCTGACTTCTTTCCGATTGATTCATTAAAATGTACATCCGCTGGATACTTTTCCGGCGTAGCAATTTTGTAAATGTCTAGAATTCACCCACTCTAAGAAAATAACTTCACAGCCAACAAACTAAAGTTCCAAAATGTTCAAGTGTTAATATAGCTTTTCATATTTTCCATAATACAGTTTCTGAATTTTCTATAAATTATATCGATTTACTAGGCCTACAATATCTTGATTTTTCATAACCAAGGTAAACCACACTCTCGGTTAAGGTTCCGTCTGTTGGTGCTAAACCGGGTTCGAACTAATTTAATAAAGATTTAAATTTTAAAATATACAGTCAGAAAGTTTGTTACAGGGGTAGAAACGTCATTTGAAATTCGAAAATTTCAAATTCGCTGTGTCTCCCTCGCGGGTATATATCACAGCTACACGTTCAGAGCTAAAACCAAATTCTGAAACAAATTTTTTCGCTTAACAAATTAGCGACTAGTGAGATACTGAGTGAGAAGAGAGAGAGAGAGAGAGAATGAAGCTGAGATCTGGTGATGCCGAAGGAGATAGTAGAGGGAAGAGGATAGTTCCGGTGGGAGACGGAAATGGTGGACGGAAGAGAAAATTGGTGCAGAGCAACGAACAGAAGAACGATCTTCAGAGAGACGAAGATGGTAGAGCGAAGAGAAGAATCGTTCAGAGCAGCGACCAGAAGAACGGGAAGATCCTCAGAGGAATCCATGGCTGTGTATCTCCTCGGTGCTCTGCTCAGACTTACCAGTCTCGCTTCTCCTGGTATTTTCTTCTTCTCTATGAACGAAATAGATCTGTTCTCAGATATTTTTTGTGTACGAGTTTGGGCTGAGCTCGAATTTGATTTTGAAATGTTTGTACGGCGTTTAATCTTACTGTATTAGATGGATCTAGGAAATAGAGTTCGATCAATCATCTTCGGTACCTTCTGGAAATGAAATCTCGGAACCAATTTGATTTGTATGAGAATTAGATGCTTATATCGATCTCTGATCGTGAGTTCGTGACTGTGTGGTTGCTGAAACCTGGGATTTGTGTTTTTCTTCATATTATTCGCTTTCAATCATCAGAAATTGAATCCAGATTCAAACGAGGAAGAATTTTGAAAATCAATCGCTATATCTCCTCCAATTTCGAATCAGGTTTCTGTATTCAATGTATCTTATATCTTTCTCTGCAAAATCAGGTTTGAGCAAGATATATGGACATACATTTCAAGGTTTTTGGATGGTAAATCACTGGTGAAGCTGGGAGCAACAAACAAATGGTTCTACAAGATCGCAATGGAGGATACTGTTTGGAGGTTTGCCTGCTTGCGTGATCTTCAGGTCCCTCAGCCGTTTCCCGTTTCTACCACCTGGATTAAGATTTATGCTTCAGCTTTTGGTAAGTTTCACATCAATATCCGAGTTATACATTCTTCTGCAGTGGTAAACTAAGAAACGATATGGAAAACTGCAGATGGGAGTCACTCTTACTTGTTCCGTCAGAAGGAGAAGCATATTGGTTAGTCCACGAATTGGATTCATCATACTCTCTTACTCTACTAATTAGTCATGTTAAATATAGATGCTGTACAGATCTTTGACTTTGAAGTACTTCATTTGCTGATCACAGACTCATTTTGATCTCTGGTTTTGTTTGACACTGTAATTATAGATTGGATGCGGATTGGTGCCTTTGTTCTTGACTCTCAAACTTCACTCCTGACTGAGAGTTTGAGTGGTCGTCTGAAAGTCCCAAGGGAAGGAACCATAGAACGAATGTTACAATCCAGTGGTTCATGTGTTATCAACGACATCAAAAGCGGTATTTGGATTGCGGGTGAGAAAATTTTCTTATTCATGATCTTTAGAAACTTTGGCAACTGCAGGAAAAACTGTAACATGGCTGATCTCATTTTCCAGATTTACAGCTTGTGCGTTGCCCTGTTTGTGACCTCAGTACCTGTGATGGTAAAAGACACTAATCAACTCTATTCTGTTGCTGAAACTTTAGTATTGATGTTAGTCTATTAGTTTCTGCAATAACTAATTACAACTAAGATTGTTTCTATTTACTATGTATAGGAACAATGCAAACACTTGATGCTAGGCACCTTGAACTGTTCCTTAGTGAAGGCTACAAAGATGGAAGCTGGGATTACAATCTAATTGGATCTCATAAGTTGCAGAAAGACGCAAGTGCAGCTTGTGGAGCCATATTTGACCTCAAACACCTTAAAGAATCTTCATCCTCAGGTAACTTCAAATCTTCTTTACTTTTATGTTCCTTTACTCCTCTTTGAATCATTTTCCTCTGTCTCATACATTTCCACATGAAATTTCTGTAGGTATTCTCAACCTCAAGTCTTGGACCGGAGAGGCAGATGATTCCCAACCTAAAGCAGTTATCGCACCCCATGCAGTTGCTGTTCACACAAGATTGCAAGAAAACGAAGGTATATGTCCAAATCACATTGCATAATCAACCATTTTTATCTAGGAAGTAAGAAACACAATTACAATTCTTTTACAAATCTAAATTGCAGGAATCCTTGTGAAGTACCACACAATGAAAGCAGGAACAGACGGTGACATTGTTTCCATCAGAATCTCCCAGCAGCTTCTCTGATTCCTTCACAGTGCATTGTCTCAAAGTCACACAAAGCTTTAAGTATTTCTAGTATTCAAATCCTTTTCCTCTTCAGTAAAATAAAGATATACATTTATTTGTCCCCTGAATATTGTATGTTGCAAGAAAAATCTGACTGATTATTGAACTTCTATACAAAACACAAACCCAATGAATATTTAAGAAGATTTAATGTGGACCATTCTATAACAAAATTAGACTATTTCCTGTTTTCCTTGCTTGTCACTTTAGCTTGAAGCTCTAGTATTTCTTCTTCCTCCTATTAAAAAACAAAACAAAAAGACACAAGTTCAAGAAGAATCAACACAAATCCATAAGCAAAATTCTGTTTGTATGGGAATCTTACCGCCACCATTGATTTAACACAAGAAGCAAGATCACCACGGGCGGTGAAAAGAGCCATCAACTCAGCCACAAGCTCCTTGTCTTCGTGTTTTCTCACAAACTTCTTCAAGAAATTCTCATTTGTGCATATCAACACAGTGGCTGCAGAGGGGAATTCACTTCCAATTAATCCTTTCGACATCAAAGCTTTAATTACGTTACACCTTGGTAGAATCCTCTCCTCCATGCTGTAAGACAGCATCTTAGGGCACAAAGACCATTTCATCTCCTTCATCAGAAAGTCAGCCTTCTTCTTCACCGACTCTGCAGAATATGCAATGCATGGAGGATGTCGTTTTATCATCATCTTGAACTCATCTCTGCTGAATCCTAGGCTTAGAAAGGTTTCAGCGGAGTTTGATATGTTCTTCTCCGAGAGTCCCAGAATCCTTGGAAACTTCTTGAAAAGAGACCATACATCCCCAACAGCAAAGCCTAACCTCTTATAGATATTGATCTTTTCTTCTTCTTCTTCTGTTTTGTCACTCATTTTGTAAATAACTTTTAGAGCCTCGACAAACTTTGGCTTCGTGGGATCAAGACCCTTACCAACAACCTTGTTCACGGTTTCTTCAAATCTTCTTCTTTTCCCAAAGACAAGTTTGTTATCAGATGTAAGCAAGGATAACAAGAGATTCTGAGGCACACCAAGTTCTCTCAAAGCCCATACATTTCTCATGACATTCCCCTCCATACCACCTTTTGGCAAAGAAGGAGCTAAATTTCCACTCTTATCTGCGGTTGTCATGTATTTGAAGACATGATAGTATAAGCCGGCAGTTTTAGTCCCTTCCATTCCCAAGATTTTAGGAATTTTCGGTAGGATCTCAGAGAGTTCAACACTTGTAGCTCCTCTAGACCGCAGAAACTTAAGCTTGGGAGCAATGGACTTGCGAGCATCTAAGTCAAACAATGGTGGGTAACTCACAACCATGTCGCCGAACTGAGAATCTGTGAACCCATGACGTCTAAGAAGAATCAGAATTGCATCTTGCTTGGAGTAGACTAACCTCGTTAACCTTTCTGCCTGTTTTAGAGTTAGACCCTCGTAAGCGACGACTGGCAAATTCCTCCTCCATTTTTGACCATCACTTACGGAGGAGAACGTTCTGGGAAAAGCAGAGAATACATGTTTTTGCATTGAACCTCTCAAAAGAGACTTTCTTCCATGGATTAACAGAGAGTACATGACTGACCAAATCTATCCTGCAAATCTGATCGAGACACCAAAAACAAAAAAACAAATACAGAATCTTTTAGGGTTTAAGAGTTAAGACAATACGTTGGGCCATTTCTAAGTGGGAGTAAATGGACCTTGTTTCATTGTAAACGGGCCTTGTATATGAATAAAAACAACGTTCGAATTAGAAATGTCAAAAAGAAGATATATATTTTCCTTGTTTGTTAATCAAGAGAGTTCGTGACAAAATCGAAATTCTTATAACTGAAACTTCTTACTTTGTTTGCTGCCTCTTTGTTATTAGCGGAGTTCATGCTTAACCAACTAGGAATTGAAGAGAGTGAAGTTACAAAGAATATGGCTGAGGTAAGGTAAGTGATTTTTCAAAATTCTTGATTCTAAACATTTTCCTCTGTCTCATACATTTCCACATGAAATCTCTGTAGGTATTCTCAACCTCAAGTCTTGGACTGGAGAGGCAGATGATTCCCAACCTAAAGCAGTTATCGCACCCCATGCAGTTGCTGTTCACACAAGATTGCAAGAAAACGAAGGTATACAACTTTGCATCATCAACCATCTTTATCTAGAAAAAAGGAAGAGAAAACACAAAATTTCTTTCTCTTACATATTTTAAATTGCAGGAATACTTGTGAAGTACCACACAATGAAAGCAAGAACAGACGGTGACATTGTTTCCATAAGAATCTCCCAGCAGCTTCTCTGCTGATTCCTTCACAGTGCATTATCTCAGAGTCACACAAAGCTTTAAGTATTTCTGGTATACAAATCCTTCTCCTCTTCACTAAAATAAAGATAAACATTAGCCCCTCATTAAATTTTTTACAACTTTAATTTACGATATATTGCAAGAAAAGTCTGACAGATTATTTGAACTTCTTCTATATGAAACACATACCAATGAATATAAGAAATTTTATTCTACACCAAATTAGATTATTTACTGTTTTCTGACTTTTTCCGTTGTCTATAAGTATGTAGTTACAATTCCCTTAGTGCCTTACCACAATATGACTTTCTCGAAACAATTCCCTCTTCTTCTCTTTTTCTTCTTCTTCTTCTTCCCTCTCCTAAATGCCTCAGAACCAAAACGTTGCTACAGTTCCTCCTGTGGAGGAAACAACCTTGACGTTAGGTTCCCTTTCTGGCTACCCCCTGAGCAATCTTCTTCCTGTGGCTACCCAGGATTCAACCTCCATTGCACCGATCGTCATAAGACAGCCTTAAAGCTTCCAAACTCCGGATCATTTCTCGTCCGAGACATAAAATCGCAGCGTATTCGCCTCAGCGACCCTGATAACTGCTTAGCCAGGCGGCTTCTCAGCTTCGACGCTTCAGGGTCTCCTTTTTCTCCTCTTCACCAAGTCAACTACACTTTCTTGAGCTGTCCTAACGAAAACGTCAAATCCTCTTCTTTGGAACCCATCCATTGCCTTGGTAACTCCACAACCTCCTTCTTCGCCACACCTTCAGATGTCACCGGTTCATTGCCGTCCTCTTGTCAAATCTTCAAGACACTACTTCTTCCGGTCTCTTCACCACTCGCAGTTGACCTCAACAAACAAGACCTCTGGCTGAAATGGGACTCACCGGATTGCACAGGTTGTGTTGATTTTAGTCCGTTATGTGGCTTCATAAACAATACCACCCTCCAAGTCAAATGCTTCGCATACGTTGATTCAGGTACGCACACACACCCCAGACATTTCTTCTCTCTTCCTATTAGTTCTCACATATACACCCCAACTTGAAATCATAATCTTGGCCTCATCAAGAACATTTTCTCTTAAAAATGAAATCCAATTTTCATTGACTTTTTTTTCTTCAGGAAATCCCTGGTTAATAACGTTAAAGATATTGTGCTTATGCCTATCGGTACCATTCTTCCTAGTGATAACTCCTACCCTCTGTATCATTTTTATCCCAATCCAAAACCAAAAATCCAAGAATGTCCCTTGGCGAAATGATACTCTCTGTCCCATTTGTTTATCAGAATACACAAGTGAAGAGACCGTTAAGTGCTTACCCGAATGTGAACATTGCTTCCACAACGAATGCATCGACCCGTGGCTCAAGTTGCATAATTCTTGTCCGGTTTGTCGGAATTCGCCTTCATCTCTGCCAACTAAAGCTGCGACCAACGCTGTCTAGATTTGATTTTTGTCAATATTGTTTGTTTATCGTAATTGTCTGGTGACGATGCTGCGCATTACGCAATTTCAGACAAATATTTCCCAAGCTTTACTAATATAATGGATGTGAATTTGTCTCCGATCTTAGCTAGTAGTTTTTGTCTAAGTCAAACCTTCAAGTACGTGAGTCACACGCACGCGTTTCTAAGCGAGTGAGCGTAGTAAGTTATAGCGTTAGCTAAACGAAGCCAAACTTTGAGTCCCCATTATTGGGCTTCAAACAAAATTTTAGACCCACATAATTGGGCTTGAAATAATATGGGCCTCATGTCCATTTTCTATCAAGTTAAAAAAAGTATACGGACTTGTCAGAACTGAGATCAGTTTCATGATTCCCGGACCCGGAGAGAAGTTAAAGCGGTAAACGGATCAGAAACAAAAACAACATCGATTGTGAAGGAGTTGTGATTCCTTGGAAAATCAAACCGGAAATCCCTAGATCGGTTTTTGTGTGTGTAGTGTTAAGGTTCATAGCCTTAGAATAATCTTCATCTTCCAGTAACTTAAGCTTACTCTTATGTCTTTTTTGTCGCCATTATAATAGTTTCCTTTGTCTCACCTTCTTCACATGAAATTGTTATAAGGTATTCCTCCACCTCTAATCTTGTACCGGAGACTCAGAAGATTGTTTCCATCAGAATCTCCCACAAGCTACTACAGTATGTTTCTTCTTCTTCGCCCTCCAAAAGCTTTTAGTTTCAGGTTTGCAAAATTCTCTTCCCCTTCAATGTTATATCTTGTTGCTTGAATAATCTGAGGAACATTTCTTGAGCTTAATTAATGAAGAATATGTAACAATAGGACGACTAAATTAGATAATAATGTTGTCTGACTTTTTCCATTAGTCTATAAGTACCAATTTTTCTCAGTTTTTAATGTTCCCATCCCTTAGTGCCACACCACATTATGTTCTCAAAACAACTCCCTCTCCTCTTCCTCCATCTCTTCCTCTTCTTCTTGCCCCTCCTAAACGCATCAGAACCAAAACCTTGCTACAGTTTCTCATGTGGCCAAGGGAGCGTCGTTGTCCGTTTCCCTTTCTCCCTATTCCCCTACCAACCTGAGTCATGTGGCTATTCAGGATTCAACCTCCTATGCACAGATGATGGCAAGACTGCCTTAAAGCTTCCTAAGTCCGAACCATTTCTTGTCAGAGAGATCGACTATGAAACACAGCGTATTCGCCTCAACGACCCTGAGAATTGTTTGGCCAGACGCCTTCTTAACTTTGACCCTTCGGGGTCTCCTTTTTCTCCTCTTCGCTCTCGCAACTACACGTTCTTGATCTGTCCTAAGGAAGCGAACGTCACAGCATCCTACAGAGCCATCGATTGCCTTGGTAACTCCACTTCCTCCTTCTTCGTCGTGCAGTTGGATCTGGTCGGTTTGATGCCGTCTTCTTGTCAGACCTTTAAGACGTTACCTCTTCCATTTTCTTGGTCTGTCGCCTACACGGCATTCCCCGGTGGCCAAAACAGTCGAGACCTGTGGCTCAAATGGGACTCGCCCGATTGCAGAGATTGTGAGAGGAGGACTAATTCGAGATGTGGATTCAAAAACAATACTTCGCTCCAAGTCGAATGCTTCAGTTCTGTTAACCCCGGTACGTACGATCTCAATTCTTCTCTTTTCTTTTGTACTTCACAACATTCCAACTTGAAACGACATCATCTACTTTTGAGAATCTTCTTTCCCAAGGAATCCATTGATTGTGGAAAGCTTCAAATCCAACGAGTTGTTAATTTTTTTCTATTCTTTCGGATAGTCAGTCAGTTATCTACCGATTAAACAACGAAAAAATGAAATCTAGTTGGCTTAAAATAATGACATCAAACCATTGACTTTGATTAATTAATCAATCAAATAACAAACATGAGAGAATGTCGTAACATTAGAATATATGAATATATGTACATACAAGTTTCACCGTTGACTCGTTTTGTTGTTTTGAAAACAGGACTTCACAACACAGGCTTACAAGTACTAAAGATAATCTGCCTCTCCCTAGTAGGACCACTCACGGCCTTGACTTTTTGTGTCGGTCTTGTCATGTGCAGTTCCGAGAGAGTCTCTTCCCAAATACAACACGCAGTGGTTGCACGCCTTTCTGGATCCGTAACGCCACAGCCAAGCGATGAAGTCGCAAGGACGGGTCTCGATGAGTCTACGATTGAGTCATACAAGAAAGTTGAGTTAGGGGAGAGTAGGAGACTCCCGACCGGATCAAATGATGTTGTATGTCCCATTTGTTTGTCAGAATACGCAACCAAAGAAACTGTTAGGTGTTTACCTGAATGTGAACATTGCTTCCATACCGAATGTATTGATGCGTGGCTCAAGTTGCATAGTTTCCTGCCCGATTTGTCGGAGTAATCCATCTCCTGCGCGCGATTAATTGTTTTGAATAACGTTTGTATATAATTTGGATCTCTTGGATTCTCTAAAAGATTTTTCGATGCATCCATCTCTAAAATGTTTTATTAGATACATTTCAAGGCCCATAATTGCATTAAAAACTCTGTTGAAACGAAGCCCAAACGCCAAGTTTACTAGAGAATAAAAATGCAAAAGGAGAATTCGTGGATTTTCCTTGGCAGATTACTTATATAAAACCCCAAAATTGGGAAATTTCATGGGCTATGAGGAAAGAAGATATCATATATAAGCATTTAACTCTTTGTGTATATTCTACATTATTCCATTTCTTTAGATCATGTTTCTATATTCAACTCTTTATGTAGATTCTGTATGTATGCATATATTATATATTTCACTTTCTTCATGTAAAGTTGAAATTATTCCATTTCTCTAAAATCCTGTTTCTCCATTCGACTCTTTGTGTATATTCTATATGAATGCATATATTATATATATTGTATGCACAGATGTGTGTAATCAAAAAGAACAATCAAGCCTAAAACTTTATACTCTGCTTCATTGTATCAGACACAGGTTCGTAACTTGTGCGGGAAGTAACTTGGAACTTGAAAACTGTTTATATTTGTCTGAGGATCATGAATCCAGTAGTCTAATTCTTGTTCCCCATAGATTTGTTTTTGCTTTTTAGCTATCTAAGTCAGTTCGTTTAAAGATTTATTACTAATTCGTGTGTTTCCTTAGGTCTGAAATTCATTTTCATATTCATATCTCTCTTTCTTGTTTTTGTTTCAGAGATGGCTGCCAATGAATTCTCCGTCAAGCAAATCTCTCCAAAGCTGCAGGGAGGAGAAAGAGGAGCTCGAAACCGTTACGGCCCAACTTCTTCACACGACCTCGTCGAGCAGATGGAGTTTCTTTACGTAGAAGTAATCCAAGCCATACGGAACTCTGCTGTAAACCCTATAGCCCGCACATGTATCCCCATCGTCGAAATCACTCTCGGAAACTACAAATCCTCTACAAAAAATCTACCAATTGGACCAAATATGGATTGGAACCAAGTCTTTGCTTTCGACAAAACCAAAGGTGATGTCTTGTCGGTTACTCTTAAAGACGGTCCGACCAATACCGTAATCAACAAGCGCAACTTCAAGCTGGCCGCGGATATTCCAACTAGGGTTCCTCCAGATGCAAGAATCGCGCCGCAGTGGTACTCTATGCATAATACCGAAACCGATTTTTACATGGAGTTGCTGATGTCAGTTTGGTTCGGTACACAAGTTGATGAGGTTTATCCAGAGGCTTGGTTTTCAGACGCCTCTGAAGTGAGTGCCGGTTACGTGATCAACACGCGACCTAAGGTCTACCTAGCTCCAAGGCTCTGTTATGTTAGGGTTACCATTGTTTCAGGTCACGATTTGATTCCTACGGATAGAAAACGGACTCCTTCGGTTTACGTGACAGCTACTCTTGGTCAAGTCGCTCTAAAAACCGGAGTTTCTTCCGGGACGAACCCGTCATGGAACCAGGATCTAATCTTTGTTGCATCAGAGTCGTTAGAAGGAACTGTCTACATTAGGTTAATCGACAGAGTCGACGAACAACACGAAGAATGCATAGGGATGTTAAAGAAGAAGCTCTCAGAGATGACTCCGCTCAAAGTTCCAAGTTCCGCACCGGCTTTGTTCTACGACATTGAAACGCCGGTTAAGGTCGAACCGGCAGGCGATTCGAGGAGGTTCGCTAGCAGACTCAAGATGAAACTAGCCACTGATCAAGCTTATCACGTCGCTGATGAATGCACCCAATACTCGAGCGACTATAGAGCTTTTGCTAAAGGGTTATGGCCATGTCTGCTCGGGAAATTAGAAATTGGGATTTTGGGTGCGACGGGTTTAAAAGGAAGCGACGAGAAAAAACAGGGTATCGACAGTTACGTAGTGGCTAAATACGGGAATAAATGGGTCAGGACTCGAACCGTGGTTGATAGTGTCTCACCCAAGTGGAACGAGCAGTATTCGTGGGATGTTTACGAGAAGTGTACGGTATTAACGCTTGGAATCTACGATAATCGACAAATCTTTGACAAGAATCAGGCGAACGATGTTCCCATCGGGAAAGTGAGGATTCCATTGAACCGTGTACAATGTGACTGGATTTACACTTGCTCGTATCCGATTCTGAAGTTGGGAAGCAGCGGACTGAAGAAAATGGGAGAGCTTCAGCTCGCGATTCGCTTTGTTTATGTTGCGCAAGGGTACGCACGGTATACAGCTCCTTTCCGTTTGATGTTACCGAAAGCTCATTACAAATCTCCATTGTCCATGTCTCAGATCGACAAGTTGAGAGCACAAGCTGTTGAGATTAACTGTGAGAATCTTGCGAAAACAGAGCCGGCGTTGAGAAGCGAAGTAGTGTCGGATATGTTGAAGCCGAAGAATAAGAGTTTCAGTATAAGAATAACCAAAGCTAATTTTGATAGGCTTTATAGAGTCCTTAAGATGGTCTTTTGGTGTGTTTCGGTCATTGCATCGGTCAGATCCACGACAGAATTAATTCCGAAAGTCATTGCGTGTTTTGTCAGTCTTGTGTTTCTTTTTATGGAGTACTGGATATATTGGTTGGCGACTTCGTGGGTATTTGGGATTTGCATTGTGCTTATACTTCTACGGGAAATTGTCAAGTCCCCGGGGAAAATATATGACTGGTTGCCTTATCGGATCGTCACTCCTCCTCCTCCATTGATTCTCGTCGATTTGAAGCTACGGAAACTGGACTCGATCAACCTAGACGAGTTAGCCGAAGAGTTTGACTCGTTTCCGTCGGCGGAGAACGATGTAAACATTCTTAAGATGAGGTACGATAGGTTGAGGAAGATTATGGAGAACGTCATGTTACTAATGGGAGATGCTGCTACACAAGGCGAACGGTTTCTAGCGGCTTTTACGTTGCTTGAGCGGCCATTGGTTTTGATTTCCTTCTTGGTCCTCTGTTATGTGTCCATGCTCGTCGTTTGCCTTACTTGGGATATAATACCTGTTCGTAGGTGTGTTTTTTTTGCATTTATTTTCCACTGGGTGCAATTCCCGTGTGTCCGCAATAATTTGCCCGATGGGAACCTCAACTTCTTCAGAAGATTGCCCAGCAACGAAGACCTCATGTTCTGAGACAATTCTCTAGGGTTTTGTTTTTTCCTTGTTTATCTATTTGTTTTGTTTTATTTTGCACCGACTATTTCTCGACCGTTGATTTTTTTTAATTTTTTTTGGACGGCTCATATCTATTATATACATTGGTATTTAATAGCCCATTATTTAGTCTCTTTAGTTATTTCTTTTAAAATGTAACGATGAATTAATTAATACATAGATTTATTATACTCTCAAATCTCTTGAGTTCTACGTCTCTCAGGGAAAGGAAAAAGATATATCATTTTTGTTTTATCGGATTCTCATTTCGTCAGATCGAATTACCGGAATATGAAACATTGTTTCCATACCAAATGCATCGATGTGTGGCTTAAGTTGCATAGTTAAGTCGTTTCCGGTTTGTCTAAGCAATTCCTCTTCTAGCAGGCAGCAGCGCGTGAAGGACCATGTGCTATGTTGCAAATTTTTTGTCTAAATGTTTAACTTAAATGTAATTATTTAAACATTTTGGACCCTAAAATACAAAAAAAAAAAAAATGGGAAAACTGAGCAGACCCTAAGAGCCGGGCCTGGCTCTAAAACATTTACAAACTAGTTAATAAGAGATACGCATTGTCGAATGAGAAGTATGGAGATACTTCAATAGTATGGAGATATAGTTTGATCGTCTTTAGTAAAGAATGAATATGTTGTAAATTTTTTAATGAATTCAAAACTATTTCAGTATAGAATGAATATGTCTCTTTTAACTAAATGTTTTAGAAATTAGCTGTAGTAAAACGGGCATTATCGAAGGAGCGGATAGGCTTAGAGAAGAGACCCACCAAGTTGGGCTTGAAAAGTGTACTGACAAAAAATATTTGCAAGGAACAAAAAAAGAATGCACCAGCCGGGAATCGAACCCGGGTCTGTACCGTGGCAGGGTACTATTCTACCACTAGACCACTGGTGCTTCACATTTGAGAGGACAAGCCAAATAATTAATAATATAGAGAGATTCCTTTTGTCTATCATCATCCATCCATGATCATCAAGGTCTGCATCAATTCATCAGATTAGGACCGGGAGAGAAATCTAAAATTAGGCGGTGAATGATTTAGATTAGTAACAAAAGCATCACACACACACAGATTGATAAGTGTAGATAAATTAAAACCCTAGATCGATTGCGTACGGAGGAGTGTATTCGGCCAAAATTGGGAAGCGATGAGGAAAGAAGAGATTCCAGATAAAAGTCGGATTGATCCGAATCTGCCCAAGTGGGTCTGCCAAAATTGTCACCACTCCCTTACCATCGTCGGTGTCGATTCCTACGCCGGCAAGTTCTTCAACGATTCCCCTCCTTCCGGTTAGCCCTTTTTTCCCTTTGCTCTGAGGATAGATAGATACAAATTTCCGTCAAGAGTTCAATTGTTGATTTTATCTAATAACTCTGTAATTTTGGCCTTGGACAATTAGGATTGGTTCTTCTTCGAGCAAATTGTCGTTGAATTATTTTAAGTTCAAAAGTTTCAGAATCTTACTTATGTGGATATGATTTGTAATGAGTCAAAATCCCTCACAATGAAATGTGATTTGTTACATCCAGCAACGCAGGGCTCATCCATCCATGGAGCTAACAGTGTTCTTGGTTCAACACGCATGGACAACTCTTTCGTTGTTTTACCTCGACATAAGCCTCAATCTCAGGGCATTCCTCCACGTCCTCGCGGGGCGTCCTCTGCTCAGCCTGATGCAACTCAATCTGGAAAGGCAATGGAAGAATCGTTTGTAGTTGTGTACAAGTCTGAGCCTGCTTCTGATTCTGGCGCTTCTCACAATCTGTCTCTTGAAGTGGGCCAAAACGGTCCTTTACATTCAAATACTTCTGGCTTTAATGCGACTATCAATGTCTTAACACGTGCTTTCGATATTGCCAGAACTCAGACACAGGTATGATGCTCTAACGTTTTTGTTCTTGTTTGAAGGGTATATCTGCTGGATAAATTGGAGTCATTAATAGTCGCGATAAACTTGTACTGGATAACTTGGAGTCATGTGGACCTGATAATATGTTTTACTTTCCCCTTTTTTGAATTCTTTAGGTTGAACAGCCATTGTGCTTAGAATGCATGAGGGTATTGTCTGACAAACTTGAAAAAGAAGTCGAGGATGTGACGAGGGACGTGGAAGCATACGAAGCATGCGTTCAGCGGTTAGAAGGAGAGACACAAGATGTTCTTAGTGAAGCTGAATTTTTGAAGGAAAAGAAGAAGGTATATTTCAGCTTTTAGCATATTGTTTGACTCTAAGATGAGTTTCATATAATGTTAAGTTACAAGTTTGTTGTTGTTTCCTGCTCTACTTAGATTGAGGAAGAAGAAAGAAAACTTGTTGCAGCTATAGAAGAAACAGAGAAACAAAATGCTGAAGTAAACCATCAACTGAAGGAGCTAGAGTCAAAGGGAAATCGCTTTAACGAACTTGAAGATCGGTAAGCTCTCTCACTGTTTCCTTATCCGCCAACGATACATTTATAATGCTATCTTTTATTTTCTCACATGTTTTTATGACTTTTCTGGTTTCCTTGTTATAGGTATTGGCAAGAGTTCAATAATTTTCAATTTCAACTAATAGCCCATCAGGTGCATTGCTGGTTACACTCTTAGGTTTCTCCTTCATTTTACTAAATGATGCTTTGGAGAGACAAGAGCTTCATTCGTTTTCTTCACAAATTCTTGATAATAGTTCTCTCTCATTGTGGTATTAGTGTTCATAGCAATTGATTTAGGTTTTTGTAGTCATGTTGTATCTGTGAAGGTTTAGGCTTTATCAGCATAACACTCGTTTCTTAGATCTAGTGTAAAAGATATGCCTTTGTTGACAGGAAGAGAGAGATGCAATCTTGGCAAAGATTGAAGTTTCACAAGCACATTTAGAGTTATTAAATAAGACAAATGTACTTACTGATGCCTTCCCCATACGGTATGATGGGGATTTTGGTACAATTAACAATTTTCGACTTGGAAGACTCCCTGCCATAAAGGTAAGTTTTGCAACTTTCCTTGTATGTTTATAATCTCTTTCTGCTCATATAGTTGTCTAAACATAGGTCACATGAAACATAATTAGGTTGAGTGGGATGAGATCAATGCTGCTTGGGGCCAAGCCTGTCTTCTCCTCCATACGATGTGTAACTATTTCCGGCCAAAGTTTCAGTATCCTTATGACTATCTCACAGTCCTTTTACTTATTTTACTTTTTTTTGTTTGATACTGTTTACTGTATATGAAGTTTATCCTTAACCAGTAACCCCTTTCAAGATGTCGAGTTAAAATACAGCCGATGGGGAGTTATCCTAGAATTGTAGACAGCAACAACGAAACTTATGAGCTGTAAGTAAATTGCATATTCTTGTACTGGTTTGTTATTGGAGTTGAACTGAAAATAGATGTCTTGTGCCGAGTTTGTTCTTTGTGTTTCTTCACCCTTTTTAACTAAAACCTGTTGATAATCTTCGTCAGGTTTGGTCCTGTAAACTTGTTTTGGAGCACTCGGTACGATAAAGCCATGACACTGTATTTGATGTGTCTTAAAGACTTTGCTGATTTTGCAAATTCAAAGGACCAAGAGAACAATATTCCACCAGAGAAATGCCTTAAACTTCCATACAAGTAAGTCCCCACTCTTTTAAAACCAAAATCTTTGTCGTCTCTTATCTTTTTTTTGTTAATGGGTGCAATGGAAAATCTTACAAGTTTCTCATATAAAATATTTTTTGCAGGATCGAAAAGGACAAAGTGGAGGGATATTCAATAACACAGAGCTTCAACAAGCAAGAGAGTTGGACCAAAGCACTAAAGTATACTCTCTGCAACCTCAAATGGGCTCTCTACTGGTTCGTTGGAAATACTAATTTCCAACCTCTCTCTGCGACGGTCTCTCTGCCTTCTGATATATCAGCTGCTGGTTCCCTGTACGCCAAGCGAGGTCCTGATTCTAGTAAGCCCTCAGCTGGTAAAAAGCCTTAGAAACTCATGATATATTGACTGAAATCGGCGACTTTGTGAATAGTTTATAAGCATTTATGTCATAGCATCGAATAATTAGAAACACAGATGCTTTTTAAGTTTTTTTCTTCTTTTCTACAGTCTCTTTTGTGTGATTATAGCTCTTTTTATTTCGTTAGTTTCAAGCTTTATGAGTCTTTTCGGTTTCGACAACGCAAAAGACTAAATTGAAATGAAATTTATCACTGTGGGCAATTTCAATCGTAACAAGATCTTACAGTAAAAAAATTTGGGTTAAGCAAAATCTATGTTCGTGATGGACGGAGTAAATCGTGATAGTGATGGAGCAGAGAAAAAAAAAATTATTCTTATGACATGGCAACTATGTTATCAACATCATCAAGGATGTGACATCCAATGTGTGAATCAAAAATAGCTCACTTCCATTTTTTTTTTTTGTCAATCAAAAAAAAAAAAAAAAAAAAAAAATGGAAGTGAGCTATTTTTGATTCACACATTACATTAGAAGAAAAAAAAAGATTAGAAGTTCTTCTTATTAAGAGAAAACAGTATTAGACACATAATTTAGAAGAAACTTTACCAGTCATTAAAAAAGCCAACAATATTTTTGCCATTTTTACAACATTAATGGTTTCAGATTCTGGAAATGTGTTTACACGTTACCGAATTTCTAAACTATAATTGAAGGGTATTTTAGCCTCACGCGCTTGAATTTCTTTACTTAATAAAAACAGCATAATTTCCAATGGGTTAACCTACAGATTTTAGCTGCGTGGAGATAACTCGCGCTAAGTGCGCGTGGCTATATTGTTTTCAAAAGGACGGAAACAACTGTTGATGTGGGCTAATTTACCGGCCCTAAGGCCCTTTTTATAAAATATATTCGCTCATTTCTTACGTGTTCTCTCAATAAGACTTTTGTACCCTTAACCAACATTTCACTTCAATTTAAATGTCCATGACAATGACACTGTAGCTTTTGATGCAGAATGCTGCTAAAGAGTTCGACTACATTTACAAAGTTTTTCGTAACACATACCTCTAAAAAGAAAGGGATTTTAAGAAAAAACAAATTTAAAGACAAAGAAACTAGTCTAAGCCTATTTCTTGCTTCATTTAAGAGAATTGTAATAGAGGTACAAGGAGACTACAACTGCAGCTTCATTTTATTCATAATGCCTTTGATTTTTATATATCAATATTTGTTATTTTAATAATGCTTGGTGGTTTATCTGAAAGATGACTATGGCCGTCGCTACTTTGCAATTCAAGGCTTCTCTTCATCTGAATTAGAACGAGGTCCAGGCACCGAATCCACGAAAAACTCCTCTATTCATGCAGAAAAGAGATCATCATGTGCATCAATTCAAAAGAGACATCAGAGCATAACAATATATCAACCAAACTTGAAGTTTATGTTCAGCTTTGGATTGGGTTTTTCAATTGTTAAGAGTACCAAATCTAGTTCAATCTAATTCTGTATGATATCTATTTATGTTCCGGTGTGGTTTTCTACGGAAATGTTTTCAAGACTGGTGAAACCGGAGGAAGAAGAAGAGTTGAAAAATGAGAGAGAGTACCTATGTCCTCTTGTTCAGGAGAATCCAGGAAAATCTCTGAATCAGATGGAAGAAATGGAGAGCCTGGATAGTTTCCTAAGGCTCCTAAATCTGCAACATACATATCTTTATCTGATAATCAGCTCTCTCTTTATAAAACTGACAATATCCATACCCCGAAAAAAAGACAAGTATGTCATTGAAACTTACCTCCCAGATTTGACAAATCTGCCGTGAGATCAGAAAGGCTAAAGTTCCAAGGAATCTGATCAAATGACCTGAGGGAATCTCTGGAATTCCCGGCTCCTTCTCCATCCGGTCCAACGTCAGATGTGAATGCTGAATCAAGCACTGAAGTGTCCATTACCATACCCGACATGTCTGAAGCAGCAAATGGAAAGTGTCCACTTGACGCCACAGAAGCTGGGCTCGCTACCATCTCAGGCATCCCACCACTGTTTGGTGGAATCACTTGAGGAGTTGCATCATTCGCAGTTGTAACGATCACCATACTAAGAAAAATGGAGATTTAGGTTAGCACATGCCATCAACAGATAATAATCATTCTACCCGAAATAAGTTAACTTATACTGCGAGTTAGTTCTTACTCATTCGCTGTATTCATCCTCAACGGATGGAAATTCACAGGGGCAGGGACTCCATTAACAACATGGCAGCTCGATACTCCCATTGCATCAAGATGGGGATGGCCTGGAACATGCATTTGAGGATGTTGTAGTACTGGGTATCCCATTGGCATGTTAACTGCACTGCGAAACAACAGTGTTAAATAACAGTGAAGTTCAATATAAAACTTTTTTACTTGTGACTTTTTCAAAAAATACTATACAAGTTTTTAGGTGATATAGGGTTTCAGACTTATTACCAGGTGCCATGGGATGCATTCCGTTTTGTATCGGTGCCAGAGGAATTTTTGGAGGTCCAGGAGGATACTTCATGAGATGGTACTGGTGCTCAAGCAAATGATTGAACAAAATTATTTGCTTCTTCAGTTTCAACCTTATATAATAAGCCCTGAAAAAGTCCGCGTTTTCTTCTTCCAATTTCTGCCAAACTGGTTTTCACACATAAAAAAAGGAGAGTCAGAAATAGAAATCTCATTTGATGTTTCACGTTGCTAATGCTATATAACTAAACAATATATAACATGCAATTTGTGTCACTCTTCAACAACCCAGTATCCTATGTAGCTCTTCTATCCCACGTCAGTACAGTAGATGTAGTTATGCTAATGATAATTTAAAATCTAAGACTGAAAGAAAGGCTATGACTCAATGAAACAAAATGAAGCAAAGAGATTTCAATAACCTTCAAAAGCTTACCCAAGGTTGTAAATCCAGGGTCTATCCTTGCACGAGTCAAGAGGGTCTTCACGACCTCATCTCTGTTCATGTACAACTGAAGACATCTTTCTATCAAATTTTGAACCTACATCAACCAATTACCAAGTGTTCATTATCAGATGTTACACATATACGTGGGAAGACACAAACATATTTCCACTTAGATAGAAAGAGAGAGAGAGAGATGAAGCCTACTTTTTAATAGTTAAAATTACAAGAAGGAGCTCAAATTTTTTTCTTACAAGTTCAATATCTTGTCTTGAAACTTTCCTACTGTCATTGCTTGAAGCAGATACAGAACCAGAATCTTGTATAGGAGGATCTATTGATAGGTTGGTTTTCTGTTCACCTTGAGAGTCATGTGAAGCTTGAGTGGAAGATTGTAGCTCTTGTGCGCACTGAAATTAAATAGTAGTTATTTTCTAAACTCTCTACAAGTAACAGTTTAACTATTGCTAGAACTAGTCTAGCTAGTAGAGAAATTTAAACTTCTTATGTGAAAGTATTGACTTAATCCACAAATCTTAATAGCTATAAGGGCCCAGTAACTACTTGTTACCTTACAAAAAGGAAAGGCATATCAGAAGTTACACAAGTTTTGAAGAGGACTAAGCCAATACAAGAAAGATAGCAAAAGGTAGAAGATTGTGTTATAGAAGAACCTGTCCGTTCTTCATTACTGCTGAATGTATAGTGAATGCATCCTTCAATCAGAAGTGTTCTCTGTAGCACCACATACAACAATGCAGTCGATAGAGTTCAACATCTTGGTCAATTTGTATCAAAATTTTCAGCCAAACATAAACCTGAATAACAAAAGAAAACCATTTAGCCGATGGCCACAGTTTCTCTACACACTAATAGTTCAATACTAGTAGCCCAAGTCAACTAATAAACAATCAAAGCAATAAAATAGATAGCAAGCTAAAAAGAAGAGTATAGTAATATAAAGTGAAAGCATTTTCAACAGTGATTAGTTTAATTAATCAATAAGGATGAAAAGTGAGTCACTCAAACATTGTTTAATAAGGTTTCAGATCCCAATTAAGCACACTCTACAGAATCTATCTAATAAAAATACTATTTCATAAAAAAAAAAGTTACGCAAAAACTAAAAACCTAAACAAATCCCAGATAAAAAGAACAAAACTGCAGTATATGTGAAGTAAATAAAACCTAATTCCAGAATCTTTTTGCCATTTATGGAACAACAAAAAACAAAAATCAAAGAACAAGAAGCTTTGATTTTCAAAAACGAAATCATTGAATTTAAGAACATGGAACAGAGTTTTAGTGAGTTCATCAACTCCAGATTCAGGAAACATTGCCCGATATGATGAAGAAAAGAACAGTAATATTATTAAAATAAAATTAGAAGAAGAACAAAACCCCCACATGAACAGAAACTCCGAAAAATAATATTGTAATAAAATCAAAAAGCAGTGTATATATATAATGAGCAGAGGAACAAATACCAACAAAAAAAAAAGATCTAATCGAATCTCACCTTCCCGCGAACTTGAAGCGTTTGTAGCGGAACCCTAAATCTCACACACTCTCGATGAACACAAAGTTATCTCGACGAATTTTTAATAGCCAATATACAAAACGAAATTTGCCAACTAAAATTATCAAACGAAACACTGAGAAACGCGATGGATTAAACGAGAGAACTCTGATGAAATCCAATTATAGATTTGAACTGGAGAAGATAGTGTAAAACAAAGATCCGACTGTCCTTTGAAGTCAAACAAAATCTCCGAAGACGGAGACAGCGAGAAGATATCGGAACGCCATTATCGAGAGAGACGAAGTTGCTTGCACAGAGATAAGAGTTAAAAAGAGAGAGAGACCAAACAGTAGAGTAGACTGGACAAGGTAAAAGAAAATGAAAAAGAAAATGAAAATGAAAATGCTTTTCTAATTTATATTTCCTTTTTTTATTAAATAAAATTCTATCTGTAGTAAATGTAAAATCGAAGAGTAGATAGGATAAAGGTCAAACAATATTATATTTGACAAAAAAAAAATAGAAATATTTGCAGTAAAATGGTAAAATACGTGACCTTGGATTAAAATTTAACCGTTTGCAAAACCAAAATCAAACCGAACCAAGAGAAAGAAATCGAATTAAACCAGTAGAACCGTAATGGTCGTCAAGTTGTTGATTGTTGCGTTACGACAAGGCAGGGCATGGGCATGGCCTGCTCTATGGAACTTTCTGGGTTTAGCATTTTCTTAACTATTCAACAGATTTGTTTCTTCAGGACCACTTTTTTTTTTAATTTTTTTTTTTTGGTTTAATGTTAAACAAGTTTTTTTTTAATTACTAATGAAGAAATCTCTATATTAATTGATATCAAATTCCGATTTCTCATAACGAGTGGTCCGAGTGCCAACACTTTATTAAAACACACAACAAAATAGTTTTGTTTCATTAGTCAATAGGCACCAAACAAGATCTTTTGATTGCCAAGTATATAGTTCCACCGTTTTCCCATCTAATTTGCTATGTGAAGAAACAATTCATTCATTTTTAAAAGCCTAAAATCCATGATATGAATCTCAAATTATTAAATTCTATAATGTTTGGTCAACTGTCAAAAACAATGCATTTATTTCTCTTTAACGTCTAAGTTTATTACTCTAAAACAAAACAATAATTATGAGCTCGTTTTGATAAACTCAGACGTTAAAGAGAAATAAATTTATTGTTTTGGCATTTTCTCCATGCATTAATAATATATCACAGGTGATGGCTACACAAAAAGAATGATGGGCTTTTCTGTTTTACTTATATTTTCATATATATACTTTCGAGCCCACTAACGGCCCAAAACATAAGCAAAGCCCAAACTATTTAGGCCTGGGCTGAATAAGCGTCATCAGACCTACAAACAGTGCGCTTATACGAATTTATGATTCTTTTTTCTTTTACGCTATAAAGAAGTTATGATTCTAATGTTCAACATCTTCTTCTGTCATAACCGAGATTTTTAAAAATAAATCTACAGGTACAGCTAAAAAGTGTACTGTTTTCTTTTTCTGAAAATAGTAGAGGAATTATTTCTTGAATTTTTAGAAACATGGTTGACGATAAGCCCTGGATTCTAATAGTTTCTATGTGGGCAAAAAGACTACATTTTCTATGGAAATAAAATGCTAAGGGAAAAAAGACGAGAAAAGTTACCTAACCGTACTAGATCTGCGAAAGAGTTCCTGCGTTTTTTTCATCCATCTGGGCTATTAAAACCAAGCAGCAGTCTCCGTGAAAATGATGATTAAACCGATGATCATGAGCGGTAATTGGCTTGATTGTAGTGTACATACAAAGAACAAACCAGGCTTGGGTCGCTTACCGATTCCTCTTTGACTTGGTTTCCTTCTTTGTTGCTCTCAAGAGCACACTTGAACAGAAAAATCGAGATTGGTCTGAGGTCTATCAAGTCTTGACTCTTCTTTCACGACTTCACAACTTTTTGCCTTCTTTAGATTTCCAAGACCCTAGTGATGTGATCGTACAGTATTCTTCTAAGTTCTTGAGTTTATTGCAGCTAAACTTGGGCAACCATTGATGTTACTTCCCCCTGTTTGGTGAAATCAAGAGGAAAATCTGAGGTCTATGATACTTCTTTATTCAAGAATGTTCTTCCTCTCTGTAATCTAACATTGGGCTGTAATCGGAAGTCTATAAAACCAAAATTACCTGGGGAAGTGAGGCGAGGAAGGATCGTCAGGTGAAGACATATGAGCAGAAGCAGCAGCACCACGAAACCTTGGCTGATCCTCGTCATTTAAATGTGGCGCTTCACCCGCTGGTCCAAGAGACCCATACTCATGGTGTTCAGATGGTGAATTGTAAACATTATTATGGTCATATGGATAAAACATCATCACAGATGGAACGTTGTGTCCCTCTGAAGAAGTCACACTGTTTTGCTTCATGCCCGGCGGCAATCGGTACATACCATAAGCAATATTTCCAGAAGCATCTTGTGAAGTGTTTGAGCGAATTGGACCGTTTTGAGAATGATGAGAAGAATAGGAGGACGACTCATGCCTATACGACGACCCCCAATGCCTATCAGATCGGTCTTGCCTTGAGCTTGGCTTATTGTCAGCTTGGTTACGATTGTTGTGGTTACGTCCAGAACCTCGTGTCTTTGTACCAGCATTCCAATTCCCTTCTCTATCACTATGATGGTCGGTTCTGTCATGCCCATAATTCCCACGCCTCATGCCAGATGTAGGCCGCTGCTCCCTAGGAGAAATCTTCTGCAACAAATTCAGCACAAGTTTAGAGCAGTGTGGCAAACCAAACCGTCATGAGTTTTATATCAGAAGATAAAAAAAAAACAAAGACAGCACAGAATCAGTAAAGGAGAGAGCAACACGCCATCAATATGAGCATAGCATAACAAGCAAGTAGAACGGAAAAAATCCAGAACCATATAGCCTGCAACATGACCAAATTTGTCAAGTTGCAGACTTGAATGCGAGTAGGATAAGCAGACAGATCATGCTGTAAATTCATAAGAAATATAGGGCTGCAAGACTGACAGACATTTTATTATTGAGAAGCAAGGTAAAAGCTCTTCATTTAGCATTAGAAAATATCTCAGGTTCGTTTCACAAGACAAGACAATAAAATGAAAGTTGTACCTCGATTAACCAAAGCACAAAGCATGCACGCAAGTATAATGGAAGCTCAAGGAAAGTATTAAGTTCTTACAGGATTTGGAAAATAGGTCCCCGTCCCACTTCGGTATCTGGGAGTTTCATTAGCATAACGAGGGTAAATATTGGGTGGCCTGGTTGAAACAGGTTGTACAGGAGCAACTGGTACAAGACGAGGTCCGTAGGTCATGAGTTGATTCACAACATTGGTGTAAGCAAGAGGTCTTCCAGGACCATCCCATGGTAAACGCCCCTGGAGATAAGCAGGTGGCACTACAACAGGGGCAGGATACAACACAGGCGGATGTTGAGAATTCTGGCAGGAGCGGCCATACTGCAAATTTTGCCAATGGCTTATAAAATCACCATTGAGGATATCATTCTTATGCTCCACCTGTTCTGCAGAAGAGCCAATTCTAGTGGCGTGCGAAGAAACTACTATCTCAGACTGATCAAGTCCCCTGGACGAGTCAAAACTTTTACAGGGATCATGATTCTCTACTCCTTCATCCACACTGTGGTGGCTTGCCAGAGTATCCGATGTCGCATTACCACCAGCTTGGTAATTGTACATTGGGAGCATTGCAACAATCGGAACAGGTGGCCCTGTGGGATAAAACGTGTATCCAGAATTATCAACCTCATTTTGTTGCATGCCATGGCCAAGGAGAAAAGGAGCAAGAGACACTGTGGACTCTGATCCACTTGCCTGAGCTAGTTCATGACCATGTATTTGATGCCTCTGTACTTGAAATGAAGGGACAGTAGGACGAGGCTCCAGATCTCTATCGATTATTTCATTGCTAGATACAGGAATCCATTCTCTGTTATCATCATCAATCTGGATTGAGTGCTCAGGAACACTCTTTCCTTTTCCATACAGTGTAGATGCAGCCCCAGACACAACTTTCCTATTCCGTCTATCCTTAGCTGGCTTTGACCCCCTTGTGGTTGACCCATCCCAAGAGCTTTCAGATGAAGTCCTGCTTCGAACGGAACTAGCACCAGACACAGATCTAGAGCCTGCAGTTCTCTCCTCACTCTGAATCTGACTGCTTCCTCTGACTGGAGAGTGGGAATTTTCGAAACCATCTCCCCTTGTCAGTCGATTTTTCCTACTTGAGGGTACAAAACTGTGCTCTGCAAAAGATGACTGATGTTTATCATCTGCCTGATGCATTCCATAACCACCATTTTCAAGTCCAAAACTATGAGTTCCCCTTTCTGGCTCGTGCCAGAGATCATTGTCAGACTCATCGACATTCACTTCTGAAGACCCCATGTCATCACTACCAGTTTTGCTCGGCTTTTCTGAAATTGGGTGGGCTCCACTGGGAAAATAATGGGTAAATGGTGGCGACACAAAGTTTTGTGGAAATTGCACATTAGTACTCCAAGGTGTGTCGATGAAAGGAAGGTTAGAAGGAATAATACCAGGCATATTCCTCTGACCATATCCCATTGAAGCTAAGATAGAAGGTGTAATTGGAAACGGTAAGTGACCCGTTGAAAAATTAAAAGGGAAAGGAAAATGTCCATTAAAACCTTGCCCAGCAGCAGATGTCATCGAGTTAACAAGATCTTGCTCTTCCTGTTCCCCTGCAACAGAGAAGTCTTCATTCACGGAAACTGACCCTAATTCATCATAGTAACTATTCACTGCACTGCTCATGTCAGCAGTACTATCAGGACTTCGAGGGGATGGAGTATGCCTAACTGACGATGAGTCGGCCGAATATCGAACACTGCTTGACAAAGTTTCAGACTCCATATTCTTTTTCCTGATATTATCAACCCTGGTAGAATTAGTTTGGCGTTTCCCAGCTTCTGGGGCTCTACTACGACGTGATTGTAAAAGAGCTTCATCATATGTTTCAGTAAGCTCAGGGCTAGACCGGGTCCTGGCAAAAATATGCGTACCATGAAAATTATTAACCAGAGTTTCTGGCTTAGCAGTTTGCTGAAGCTTATCATTTGAAGCACTTTGATTGGAAATGACATCCTGAGCAGGTTGGTAAGAGTTGCCTCGACCCTTTTGCGTTTGATATGTTACTCTAGATATAATTTCTGTTCCACAGTTATTCTGTTGAGAGGGCATACTCCGAGCTCCGTGAACCCCACCAAGACGGATGGCATTTTGGTTTCTTTTGTTGCTTGAAGAATTACTAACATTTTCAGCTTGATGATATGGCTCAGGATCTCCCAGTCTTGATAGCCATAAGTCATTTCCAGGAGCATCAGGACGTCGACCACTGCCGTGTCTTTCCCATGTGTTCATAAAAAATTGGTTAACCTCATGGATCAAATTCTCCTTAGGGCATTCAAGTAACCTAGCCAACTTCTTGGCACCAAGGGTAAATGCACTTCGTATCCTAAAGAAGTTACCTGACACAATAATTGAACAACAAAAACAAAATTCAAGCATGTAAGGAAGTCAACAAGTTTGTGCAACTTCTAGCTTCATACTGTATAACCAACTAAGGGAGAATGCAAATTGCAGATGTACAGATTAGCATTCAATTATAAAAGTACCGGTTTATGAAGAATAGGTAGCAGCATTCAACCCAAGTAAGTACCTTTACTGACACTGCGTCCAAGGTTGTTGTTTTCACGCAAAGGGTCTATAACATTGAAATGTTTGGAAACAAAAGGCTGGCCCTGTATCTCTTGAGGAGCAATATTAACTGCATAAACTCTACTACAAGCTCTATAAAACGCTTCACTAACTCGTAACTCTCCAACATCCTTTCGAGGAGGCTCCGCTGCCAAAAATTGCATAGCAAGACAATCAGTACTAGAGACAGTTACGATGCACAACTAATGCAAATGTATGATGGACAGCAGTTTGTAAATACCTGTTACATCTGGTAGTGAACTAACTGGAACAGGTCCCCAGAGGCTAAGACAAAAATTCTGCCAGTCAAACTTACTAAAGAACTCAAGAAATCGATAGAGGACCTACAAATGCAAGAAGACCAGTCAGGAAGATTGAAGAAGCAATCTTGACAGAATAAAGGCAGTTTCATTATGACATTACCTCAAGGGGTCCCGAAAATGAGTTGTTGAAAAGATAAAATATGTAAAGAACCAAGGTTTCTAGGGCATATGTCGAAATAAGCCCATGGTGAGCTCCCAATATACGGCTCTCGTAGTAACACCAGGCTTTAATCAATATAATACTACGCTTGAATAAATGGTTCTGGTTTATATAGTGATCAACCTGCATATAACAAAGGGAAGAAATCAAAAGATCTGCCTAACTCAGGAAGAGAAGGCAAGTGGCATGTTGTCTTTGGTGGAATGCTAACCTCCTCAAGGAAGCATAATGTACACAGCCCTCCAATCTGGTTGAAAGATATATCCACCACAATATTCTCCACCAGACACTTAATTATCTTTACCTGAAACATTGTACAAGTGAAAAATCATTAGACAATTCAGTACGTCAAGAGACTCAACCTTACTTCGACTAATATCAATGGTTCATACACCAAGCATAGAAGAGGAGAAAAAAGAAGCATTCTAATTCGCATACTTCTGCCTGAATATACTGGACTTCTTTGACATGGAATTCAGCATTCTCGTTCTTCTCTTCCTTTTCCAGCATATCACGAACCAAATTCGCCCAAGAATCCTTCAGGTTTTGGTTAGCGCTAAAAGCCGTTAAGTCGATATCTCCATCAGGCAAATAAGTCTTCAGAGGTACAGATCCAAACATAAAGATCTGGTAGACACAAAAAGTTACAATTAAGTCAAGGATCAGAGGATTAAGAACACGTTTTCTCAAGGAATAAAAACAAAGTTTCAACTTCCAAAAACAAGAAACTTAACCTCAGCTACATCACGGAAATAGGAACTAAACAACAGATACATGAAATCAAGAATCCCCAAACCAAACCCACCTGAACCTGAGGGAAGCATTCCATGATAAGCCTCCTCACGTAACTGGCAACAGCATTGCGGCGATCTTCGGAAGGAGGATTTGGCTGGATACAAGCAATGAGCTTAGCAGTTCTATCCTCGGCCTTGGCCCATCGCTCCGCATCGAGCTGCCTTGTCACAGATGCAGCCTTGCCTGGCAATAAACCGTTGGGATATAAGAGAGTGGGTGACGGCGGAGAAGCCGCCCATGATTCATGCTCACCCATGCAAATCTCTCCCGTCACAGTCACCGACGAAACCTTACCCTCTAATCCAAACAAAGACCTTAACCAACCGTTACGTTTGCTTCAACGGTTGCTAATACGCAACCTCCCTGATTTATCTATCTATATATCGTGGCTTCAAAGTCACCGGAAATGTGAAAAATCTAATAGCTACGAAGCTAAAGAACCTTCGATCTGCGTGGCTAATCCAACACAAAATTAATAACCCCAAACATACAAATTTGTAAGAATCAAAATCGAAAAATTGGGCAAAAGAAGGAATCGCAGATGAATTGAAGAAGAAGGTAAGAAAAGAAGAAAACCCTAGGAGCAAACGAAGGAGACGGAAGTTAGATTCTAAAAACAGAGAGTGGGTGGCGGAAATCAATAAGAACCCTAGAGGATAAATCGAGAGAAAATCTAGCAGTATCGACGAATCGAGAGGCAAATGCGAGATTGATCAAGGTTAACACTGGCGGACTGAAATCGTGCGGAAGAAGATGATGAAGAAGACATGACCAAAAAAGATGTATATATTTTGATTATTCATTAGGTTTTTTTTTTTTTTTAATATCTCTTCTGTTGATGATATTATTCTCTTTTTTTTCCTCTTTCTGGGAGGAGGAGGAGCAAAAAGTGGGAGTGTTTGGTGACGAGGATAGGCAATTCCGGGGAATCTCAGCTTCTCTATGGGCGTTTTCGTCAATTTCTCAAAATTTAATTAAAACTGGTTTTAATGATGCCTACAAAATAATTGTACACACAAACAACGCAAAAAAAATAAATTCTGTTTTTTTCAATAATAAAACCAATTAAAATGATAAATGTACGTGTTTTCTATTTTGAGTACGCAAATACTCCACGTGCCTTACTAATTTCTCATGGCCTAAAATGAAACCATTCCATAAAAGTCAGTGAAGTGATTTGTTGATTTAATTTTGATGTACATATATATGTTTGTAAGAGAACTCGTGTCTTTTTCGCCTCTTCAAACCAAATTTCCTTTACGTTTTTACTTTTTAGTGAATACGAATGTTGTATTTATGGATTAATGAAAATATGAGACACTGATAAAACGAAAAAGAAAACCCTTTAAAAAAACAAAATTAAAGGATGGTTCTTTTCTTTCTTCTCTAAAAATAACTAAGCCTAGTGGGCCTTGCTATCGAACTGAAGATTTGAAATTGGATATATAAGCCTAGTTTCGGCCTAATTATTTCTTGTTTACAGGCCCACGATTGTAAAACGCTGCGCATCGAATAGGAGTGAGTGATCCATGAAGTTGGAGAAAACCAATTTTTCCACTAAGCATAATTTGATTACTGAAGAAACTAAATTCTTCAGAATTTTAGAATATTTAATTCTTTACAATATTTTATTAACTTGTTTCGGCTCACCCACAAGAAATGTAAAACAAACGCATAATCAGAAGAGATTCCACTTATATACAACCGTAGATTTCCCTCATTAGACACGTGTCATGATCTCCTCGGTCGTTGTCAGGTTCCCGTTTAACCCACGTCCTGCTGACGTCAGCACGGGCCAAACACTCCTCCTCTGTATCCTGGCTTTCCTAACAATGAGCTTCGTGTGCTGCCTGAGAACTCCGTTCACGGCTTTGACGTAGTTTTTGGAATCGTGATCCCTCAAGACCGAACCTTCCGAGCCATAAGCGGCTCGTTGACTCAGTGTTTCGAGAGGGTGAGGGCGGTTCAAAAACGCACGTAACGCCGTAGGAGAGTAACCTTCATTGCTCTTTTCTAAAATGTAGAGAGCGTTACCCGGTGGTAGCCAAGGGTGCGTCGGCGAGACGCTCTCACTTGGCTGTAGAATAAAAACTTTCCCCATCGGTGAATACAAGAGTTTCTGTCAAAAAGAAAAAACACAACCAAATACTTCAAC